TCACCAGCCACATCAACCTGATCAGTGTTTGATTGTTGTGTCTTGTTGCTTTTCTTCTTTTGTCTCTCCTCTATCCACTCACCCCAACCGGTCAAGGCAGAAGGCCGCCCACCAAGAGCCGGGGTCTGTCAGAGGTTTCTTCCGTTAAAGGGAGTTTTTCCTCCCCACTGTCGCCAAGTGCTTGCTCAAGGGGGATTTGTTGGGTTTTCCCTATGTAATAATATTGGTAACAGTAAGGTCTAGACCTTACTTTGTAAAGTGTGCCGAGATTACTTTTTTTGTGATTTGGCGCTATACAAATAAAATTTGATTTGATTTGATTTGACATGGGAGATCAAATTCTTCTGACACCTTAAACAAAACTTTCTGCAATGATGACAAGATGTAGATTCGGTCTCACCAGTGTTAGGTCATTAATCTTCCTCTTCAAAGTTAGGCTTTCATCTTTCACAGTGATGTTCTTGTACTTCTCTTCTATCTGATGAAGAAGTTCACACAATTCATGTTCAGGACATTTGACAGTACTTATAAGTGGTGTGTTAAAGTGAAAATGGAGTGGACTCAATGAAAGAAAACTTTACCATCTGCATCCTCTGGATTTTACACTGTAGCTCACACACTTCACTTTCATAATTTCTTCGTAACTCTCCCAGGGCTGCGTCTGCTTTCGTCTTCTCCTTCATGAACACAAAAACCAAGTCAGATAATTAGTTGCATCTTGATATTTTTTGCAACTGTTTGTTCTTTCTACAAGTTTTGAGCCATGAATGGAGGCTGCTGGGGAATCAGTAAGTGTATCAACAACTGTATCTAGTTTCCAAAGACAGTAGGAGTCGGAACACAGACTTACAGGTGTGTCCTCTATTTTTATGTGTTTATCTTGGACAACACAAACAGCAGCTCATGATTCAAGTGAGTCACTGGTCTAGGGTTACTTACGTTTGTGTACACACACACACACACACACACACACACACACACAGTGATAAAACAAAGTTTATATTCTACACAATTAGGTTTGAAAAGCTGCAAAGAAACACTTTTCATTTCATGTCATGGAAAGCCAAATGTTATCAAATCTCCCTGCCTCTTTTCCCCACTGAGATTCCCGGGAAATACTTCCAATTTTCCAAAATGGTTACCATGGCAACAAAACAAGTTTGATTCAGATAAGGAAATGAAAGTATTACAATGTCAGCCATGTGGTGAACACCCGTGCGTCAGTCTATTCATTGACACTATTTAAAGATATGGTGAGAGTTTTTAAACATTTTGCTCTGACAAAGATTCAGCTGTGGTTTTGTTCCTTCTTCAGCAAAACAAAAATTGTATAAATATCCTTACACACCTGGCTTCACAAATCTTGCCCTGAATTTTACCTCTCCCATCTAGGTCTCATTGAACTGTGGATGAATCACTTTATGTATACTACCAGTCAAAAGCCTGGACACCTTCTGGGAAGGTGGTAGCGATGCTGTAGATCTTTCAGCACCTGACTGACACAGACGTCAACATCAACCCTTCATAAACCTTTGATAACCAGGACAGCACATCAAATCAGTTTAGAAATATCTTGAAGGTAAGAAAAATGTTTTATTCTATACCTTTAACACCAACATTAACTAGATGAGCTGAGTTACACCTTCACCCGAACACTCAGCAAAGTTTACTGAAGCACAAAAAAGCCATTTACACCACCTAACGTTTCAATATTTGTTTTATAAATCACATTCTTGTGACAGGATCAGTTGGGGGAAAAAAAAAGGTATTTAAAGTTCAGGTTTGCCAGAAAATGAAACCACAGTAAAACATTTTCTGGAGCATGCATCTTTGTACAGTAGATTATTATTTCCATCCACACACCACCCATCCTTATCATCACAAATATATACAGCCATATCACTGAGGGCCGAAATGTACACTACCACCTCCATTTATCTACCGTTTTATATCTGGGATACACAGCGTAGCGACATCCATCTTATCGATAGGCGTGTCTGAGTGTAGCTCAGTCATGCACATTTGTTTGACATGAAGGAAGAGCTCAGCAAATGCATCCCGGCTTATCGCATTGCCTACACAAACTCAGGTTACAACAACTAGCCTGGAATATTAAAACAAGATTAAAATACCTTTTGTGTGTGTGTGTGTGTGTGTGTATTGAGCTTTGGGAATTCTACTATGTGCGTTTGTACGGCATATCTACGTTAGTCTGCCCCACCTGCTCCCGAGTTTTACTCTCCGTAGCATGAATGCGTTGGTCCATCTCCTCCTCCATCTCACTGAGCTGTACTGACGCTTGGTCCTGCACTCTGAAAAACAACAGCAGGATCATTTCACTGTACTGCAAATGTCTCAGAGGTTTAACTTAACATCTTATAAAAATAGCCAACACTGGACTCTCATGCCATTTATGTTTCTGTACATATGGAGCCACATATTTACAATCATGAAGATTTCTACTGGAAATTTAATTGATAATATGGCAACACAAAGATCAACAAGCAGATGTGCAAAAGTGTGCAATTTTAAAGCATTAATTGGTATAATTATGCAGCCAGACTATTTGACTCTATACTTTCACACATTCCTGACCCATAACCATGATGAGGAGCTTCACTCTTGTATACCCATAATCCATCAAATCCCATTACACTTAATGTAAGAGCTGCACATATCATGTAAGATGATGATAATAATAATAATAAAATAATAATAATAATAATAATAAATACTTCAGAAAAGAGTGATTAAACATTGAGGCTTGCAACACAAAATATCCACAGTGTTTTCACTGTAAAGCGAGATAAAAATATGGTGTGCATGAATGTTTCTCACCGTTTGATGGCAAGGGCCAGGTTCTCTATCTCTGAGTTCTGATGTTTGATCTCTTTGGTGAAGTTCATGATGACATTCTCGAACTGTGGAATCAGTCTGGGCTCAGTCAGGCTGATGTTCTGGTAAAGTGTCGCTGCTTGTTCACAACTGGAAGAAAATCAGGATTTGACATTAGCTTTTCTACTGTAATACTAACATGTTTATGGTAGTGACAGGTAACCTTTTCAGATTGGCTGTTTCTTTGAATCCAAGTCCATTAAAATCAAAGTCATCTCCAAATGCATTTCCTTAAATACTGTAAAACTAATATAGTTCTGGTGCTTTCTAAATGATATTGGTCAAATTCAAATTCTGTTTATATCATGCATGCAGCATGATTGTTGCATTCATTTCTCCAATTGTGTGTGTAGTACTTGGCATGATTCACCCTAGTGAGAGGGGAACCACTGTGCAGCCGCGACGCCCCCAGTCAGGAGTAAATAAGCAGCACAGCCAAAGCTAGCTAAAGAAAGCTAATGTCATTTTTACACAAAATAAACGATTTGACTCTTTATAACGCACGGTTTATTATTTCATAGAACTAAGGGTTTAATTTACTTTTCACATGTATTTCCAATGTGCCACCCCTCTCTGAGTCTGTACCCCAGCCTGGCCACCCCATCCAAAATTTTTTTAGAGGTCTGCACCTCCCCGAATGAGTAAGAAACTGTTATTTCATTGATTCATACAATTTTTTTTAAATGTGAATGGATTAAAGCCTTTCGGTACAACTATCAAACAGGCCAATGAGAACGCACATTTATTTTATTGTAATTATAATTTTATTTATTAGCAACGAATATTACAGTCAAAATTTGAATGGTGCTTTCCATCAGCAGTGAAATCAGAGTGACAAACTGGGTTGCTATATTCCCAATGCCTAAAGGAAAGAGAAGTTATGGTGCTTCTGTTACAGTGGGTTTGTCTTGAGTAAAAGCACACTGGCTCAACCATATCACAAGTGATCCACCATTTAACAGTTCAACTGTTAACAACTCGGAATGACCTTTAATATTCCTATGGTCCTGTTGTGATGCTTCTGGCTGCAAGTGGTCCTATGGACAGGCCCGGCCCTAACCAATTTGGCGCCCTAGGCAAGATTTCAGGTGGCGCCCCGTTGCATTGCAGTAAATTCCACTGCTAGTGTATATACACTCATAAGAAACGTAATAGCTTTGTCTTGGACATTCTTTTATTTAAATAAAGCAATTGCACACTGAAAATACTTAGAAAGAATTAAAGAAACAAATATAAAAAAATGAACTGAACATATGAAATACAATATAAATAGCTTACATAAAGTACCTATTAATACTCCCAAAATAAAAAGTGTAAACAAGTGACATTAACTTAAAAATACAATATAAATACGGCACTGTGCAAAATAAGATATTAAAGAAACGAGTAGGCACAAAAAAATACAAGGATTTAAATAAAAATAAAAAGATGATCTTACAAAGACCTCTAGTGGTGTTTTTGGTACTGCCGTAACTTAAAAACTACACCATCACCTCCTCAATCTCACATAACCTGCTACAGCTTTACTCTCCTGGTTTTTCTTGCAGCAAAGTCATCTACAACATCATCATATGACAACTGATTTGAGACCACATGGTTTATGCTTATAAATAGCAGGTAAAGTCGGATTATTTGGAAGAGAGGGGAGGCGTCTTAGGCAAGTAGGCTATATTATTATTATTATTATTACTACTACTACTACTACTACTACTACTACTACTACTACTACTACTACTACTACTACTACTACTACTACTACTACTTAGTAGGCTTTGCTGCTATGCAGTTAAATTAATGTGGTGGGCTTATTCTTTTCTGAGGTCTAGTTTTAAGAATAGTGGAAGTTACACTTTTTTTTCTTCCTCCATTTCTGGTGCCCCCTGGATGTATGGCGCCCTTAGCATCTGCCTATACTGCCTATGCCACGGGCCGGCCCTGCCTATGGAAGACACTATACTGTATATGCAAACTTTGACTCGACTTCTGCTAAAAATGCAAGAAGCTTTAGGTGCAATTACCAAAGTATGATTTGAAACAGATCAAAATCATTGACTGCACACGTGCAAGAATTAGTTTGTCACTGACTCACTGTGTACTTTGTAATTCCATGACAGAAATACTAAACCCATTAGGATATGTTAATGTGAGACTTAACCTCAGTATGAGCAATGATGCTGTTTTTCCAGTGTACGTCATTATTTTGTGATAAAATGTCCTGTGTCGAGGTATGATGGAAAAAGTGCGTGTGAGGGTATGTTTGCCTTCTGACTGGTTTAATCCTGAGTACACAGACGCTGTTGACTGTCTGTCAATAAGCCACAGTGACAGTGTTTGCTTCAGCTTCCTACACTGTCACACACAAATTGGCCATAACAGAAACACACAAACTATTCCACGTCAGACCGGCAAAAACTAAGACACAAACAAACATAAGCAGAAGCGGTTGTTAGGAAGTACAGTGTAGTTGACACAATCTCAGGCTGCAGAATACACCGGTTTGGTGCCCTTTTAAAACAAATGTATGACAAAACCAAATGGGGGAAGCATGGAAGGCATCTTGGAAGTAATTTGGTGCTGATGAACCTACTTTTAGTACACTGCCTGATTCCTTATAACCTAAGTCTCTGTCAAATGTGACTGAGTCATTTAATCAGCCTCAGTCATAATGCTGCGGATAATAATGTGCAGAATAGAATCTTTGCAGCAAAACCACATTTGCCAGTAATCAATAGTAGGACTAAGCAAGAATGAGGGTTACATTTTCTAGTGTCTCCGTGCAGAAATAAATTGTTTATTTGGATTATTAATTAATTGATGAGGTGCCTTCAGGAAAAACGGCTCTCAAGAAAGAGATTCATGTACACATATAAAACACGTACGTGGACGCCGCTGGTGACCAGACCCCTTACATTCTCTGGCGCAGTCACACAGGATGTGCACGTAGGTCAAATGTTTGTGTCACCAACATGCTTAATATTTTGTGTATAAGCAGCAAAGATTGTGCAGTATACTCTACTGGACGTTTCCCATCGTTAATAGTTAAACCCTTTCCCTTGTTTTAGAGTTCCGCCTTGTAGGCTAATATATAATTTGTGAATTTCCATGTGTCCCGCTATCATCTTTACGCACAGTGCGCTCACAGTTGAACGCATTGATATCATCCGAGAATTTCCATATTTTAAAACCCATCCACCCATCGCCACAACCTTCCCCACTGACCAGCCGACAGGTGTGCGCGCTCACCTGGGGATGAACTTGGTCTGCTCGCCCAGTCTTCTCTCGAAATGCTCCCAGGCGGTGGACACATACCCTACGTCCGACTCCATATCCTTGCGGTAGCCGCCGTGGAAGCCGCTGGTGAGCTCCATTACAGTCACTGTTCCGTCCTTGTCTACGTCCAGCCGGTTAAATAAACGGTCTGCCTCGGCAGCGGACACCTGCATCTCTGCACACATATTGAGAAACTTGTTTCTCGCGATCCTCCCGAACTGGTCCACGTAAGCCTCAAGGAGGGAGCGCAGTCGATCCTGCTCCTCCGTGTTCATACCTTTGTTGGAGGAATGTGGCCGGCTGGAAGAAAAGAATCACTTTTGTAGAGTAAGGTGATCTCCGAGAAGAAGAAACCCAAGAACCCAGTCAACAACTGGCGGTGTTTTATTCTCAGGACACCAGAAAACCGCAAAGTGAAATCCTCAACCTCCAGACGTTTTCCATGCTTATCCAGACATTGCGACAGCTGTTATGAATTGACAAAAATAATGACCGAGTTAATCCATTTCAGGAGGTTTAAACGCTCAGTAAGTCAAACGTGGACACCTCCTGCTCGAGTGGGGTGCTGTCTTCGCCAAATCTTCTGATTTGTTGCAACCAATAAACAGTTGAACGAAGAGAAAAGTTGCTGTGTCCGACTCAGGGAAGTTCCCAACTATCAGTACCAGTGTGTGAAACAGGTGTGTATGTGTTCACTCTTCTCTTTCTCTCCCTCCCTCCCTCTCTCTCTTTAACAACAGAGGCCTGGGCTTCAGGCCAAATGAAAGTGCTTTCATTGTGGGGAAAGGATAATAGCCTGTATTGGACTGCATAGACTTTATAAATTAGAGAACCAGAGATCATCAACCTGTATGTACTGTGATACACAGGAGATACTTTACACACACTACTAGGCACTCCATGTGTTTCAATCTTAAACTCGGAATCCTGTTTAAAATTCGGCAGTGAGCCTTTTCCTATAATTTGAATGGCTTCTAGAAGATCAAGTCCTTTTACTGTAAGGAATCACTTTTCAGCAGGTGTTTGCACCATATAGCTGTTATTTGCATTACAAAGTAAGAGTAAAAATTAAGAAGGCAGGATCAGATTAAACCAACAGAAAACTCTGGGGCAAGAATGAATTGTGGGTCCCTTTCAATAAAACACTCAATGCCCCTCAGGATAGGAGGGCATAGTATGTCTGAAATCTCCAAACACACACAGTCAAATACAGATAAATTGAAATTGATTTTATTCATCAGTCAAACTCCACCAGACCTCATTTAACCAGTTACAGTATCACAGGAATAAATGCAATAAATGTAAAAACATCTAGCTTCATTATTTCTTTCATTTTGCGCTTTGATATGGTGAATGCATCAGTCCAGTTGTGTGTAAGTCAGAGCACAGGGTAAACTTTAACAGTAGCGTTAATTTCTCTGATTTCTCTTGCAGTGGGGAGATGAGCACAGCCGTAGAGATGGAGCACATTCAGCCTGAAGAGTGACAAACATGGAAACAGGAAGTGTAATTGTATGCTGATATGTTACCGTCATTTTTAGATTGTCTAACCACCCAGCAAAGATATCATACAGTCAGAGGTTTGGTGCTGGTAGTAATGATAGTCCAGCTCTGTCAGGGTCTGAGAGAGGGAGGACCCAAATGTACACACGGACGCAAGAACTAGAGAGGATAGCCAGACTTCAGTGAGAAGACTGAAAACCCCAGAGACACAAAGCTAAAGGCTAACAGACAAAAAGAAGGACTACAGAAGACTTGACTAAACATAACAGAGGAAACTAGGGGAATGCAAAATGAATAGCAGGAAGCAGATAAAGGCAAAACCTAATAACAAGAACTACCAAAGAATTCGTGGACTTGTGTGTGTGTGTGTGTGTGTGTGTGTGTGTGTGTGTGTGTGTGTGTGTGTGTGTGTGTGTGTGTGAGTGAAAGAACGAGACATGGTCAGATGAACCAGCAACCAGACTGAGAGTCGTGAGGTGATTACAAGTACTGAACCAGGAATGAAAACGCGCAACAGGTGAAAGCAAGAAGGACAGCCAGTGACAGTGTAATAAAAGCAAATGAAATAAAAGCATAAGACAGGACATTAGACCAAAACCATGACAGCTCTTTTTTATTCTGGCATATCACTCCCATATTTGCACCACTAGCAGCTCGTCTCTTTTTCCCAGAATAACTTGGTAACTGTAGTATCTAAATTTCATGTCAGTTTAAGTTCTCAGTCTGTGTGTGTGTTTGCTTTTGCGTACGCCACTAGTAACAGTCACTAATGTCTTCATAATAGTATCTTTCAGGCAGCCTTTAATACCTACATAATGAATACATATTCACCTTGACCTGGCTAAGTTTTCTGAATGACTTTAACAACAACAGTGGAGAGCAGCTTTAAACAGCTATTCACTTAAAGAGTGCTAAAGAGCTGACAGTAACACATTAAACTGAAACTTCACAGACACATTCAAGTGTTGATAAGTCTCACAGAGTGACTGTTTACACTTCTCTGTGAAATTAATGCAGACATTTATTGACTGTGTGTTTACCTTTTGCAGCGTCTGCAGAGCTTCAGTATATTCTCTAAGGTGATCTGGCAGAAACTGAGTTTGACAGTATGGAGGTGTCCATTACAGTAATTTGCCAGCAGAGTAACCCTGTGTCACATAAAATACTTTACTCATCAGCTTTATTGCAAATATGAAGGGATGTGGCAACAAAACTACACACAGCTTAAGCGAGCAAAAAGATTTTTCTTGTAGCAGATTGCATCCACTGAAAAATAATGGTAGATCTTTAGCAAATCATATCCTGACCATTACATGTAGCACATCACACACTGTCACAAAAACAGAAATATACTACAGTTCAGTTTATTGTGTGTTGTGACCTACCCTCTGTTTCCTGTGCTGGTGGAACTGAGATCCAGCTGCTGTAGTCTCCCACACCCCAGAGCTATAGACTGTACTCCTATGTCTGTTACTGCCTTACAGCCACTTACGTCCAGGGATCTGACATAAACACAAAGAGACACACTATAGCGGTAAACTGCCAAGAATTCAAGAATACCTTTATCAAGTATTTCTGCTGGTAGAAACCCCACTGACATAACAGAGACATTTCATTTAGGTTAGATACAACTAATTTTAAGGTTAAGATAAGGCTCTCTTACAGATCTGTGTGTCTGTACCTAATACAAGGTGTGTATTTGCTGATGTTGTGCAGTGTTAGGTCAGTGACTCCACGACAGAAACTGAGTGTCAGACTCTGAAGTTTGACACAGTTCTGAAGCAAAGTGTCCAGTGTGGCGTCAGTAACCTGTTACAGTAAACGAGAAACAGAGTTAAAAATGCAGGTGTCACTGTTCTGGTAAGTTAAAAAAAAAAATCTTTTACATTAAAATTCATAGAAAGTTCAATCTCAAACTCACTGCCTGTAGACCAGTTACATTGAGGGAAATTAGACATTTGAGCTGTGAGGTCATCACTGTGAGACAGCGTGTGTTGACTTTTGGCACCTGTCCAATGTTAAGATGCTGGAGGCCAGGACACATCTAAAGAAAGTGTACATATTGTGCATACAGCAGAAAACATGGTGTCATGTTGTGCAAAGCACAGACATGATGCAAAAGCACGAGGAGTCACTTATTCACAAGCTAAAGGATATTTGAGATCTGTTTTAGATATGGGAGCTGGTGTTTGCTTTTCAAAATAAAGTACCTCATATACACTTTGGAGACAGGATGGAGTGAGGAACTGACACCCAAACACCTCCAACCTGCACAGACTAAGGTGAAAACATGTTCAGACAGTAACAAACAAACATGTGCACATCCTAATAGATCTGGATGAATTATCCACTACAAAGCTCAGCTGAAAACGCAAACATTATTGTCAAGTACACTGAAACAAGACATGTTCTAGCTAAAACTCCTCTGTATTTTTGTCACATGATGTCATTGCAGATTCGCCCCACACCCCAGTGCTTCATGCTGACTGAACAATGTCTGCCACAGCTCAATGGGTAACCCACCTCCTCCTGTACAGCTGAACACGGGCTTTTCCCCCAATTTAAAAAAACTAGTCATAACTGTGAAAAGCAGTGTTTGAAGTGGTTTTAAAAAAGAGAAAAAACACAGGATGTCAGGTAACACATTTGGATTCTAAAGTTATGAAATGTAACTCAGATTTCAGTCTGGCTGAACAAAAATGCATCTGACCTCCATGCATGTATGTAGCTGCAACATCATATCACATCACACAGCTTGGTGGATAGATACATTTATACATTTAATTCAGTTCATTTAATGTTAAAGACAGGAAAACACATCCATATACTGTATGTATGCTAATTCCTCGTCTGCCTAAACATCCACATACAGTAGGCCTACAATATAGTACAAGGTCAACTAACATTATATTTATACATAAACAGGTTTAGAGAAATTTGTACAGAAGTACATGAAAGAACTCTGACCTCTCTTTGTGCCTTATGATGAGTTTCTTCAGTGGGTCATCAGAGACATGACAGCCATTTAGGACAACTGATCTTAGTTTCAACCTACACAGAAGGTCAATGAACAAACAGAGTAACGCTTTATATCATCCTTACACTTTATATACTACACTGTGCATCTGTGTGTTTATGTATTTGTGAAACTGACCTTGTGCAGCTGTCACTCAGAGCTTTCACTCCTGTGTCTGTAGCTCCACTCCAGCTTACATCCACACTGATCACACGTTCACACAGCTGACCAATCAGAAGCAATATCTGATCACCATGGAGATCTGGACCAGTGCAACTTGTGACCTTAATTTCCTGTAATCAGCAAATGATGACACACATAAAATATAGTCTCATTCAACCAGTTAATGAAAAAGCAGACTACAGATCTCTAGTGACCCTGCATCCATCCATCCATCCATTACCTATACCACCACCATGCTGCCCAGAACATGCATCTCACTGGTAAATGACATAAGACCCACTTTATAGTTTTTTTTTTCCTTCCAAGTGAAAGATGTCATTACTTAACACAGACAGCCCAAAGGCTTACTGATTCAGAGGGTTTAACCCTACAGCTTGAGGGCCCTGCTGTAAAGTCTGGTGATGGCAAGCATCCACAGAGTTGTAGCTTTTCTTTATCTGCCCTCTGATCCTCTGTAACTGCTCTGAGTGATCTATAAAGTACCCCACAATAATGGGATGTTTACAAATCTTTTGACTTGACTTCTGATTTGCTTCTTTACCTCTAGAGAATTTCTGCACAAGGTGAAAAATGTGTTGAGGCCACATGAGGTGACAGAAAGGCTACTGCAGCTGTACAGGCACAGACTGCGGGGACGACAGTTGCCCACAAACAGCAGCCACCTCTCTGTCAGGGTGGAGTCTTCAATCCTCAGACTTTTCCCTTGAGAAAAAGAAAAACAGATTTTATTTTCAGTATATCAACTTCAAGACTTTGGCTCTGACCTACAGTGTGTGCACAGCTATGAAAGCATGTGATGGTGCAGGTCTGGGTTATCTTACAGCGTGTTTGTCCAGGGTGTGGTACAGTACGCCACTGCAATGGAAGTAATCAGCTTACATTATAAGAACACACTATGTGCTGCTACCTGGAAAACTTCTGGTCATCCCACTTTCCTAGGTCATTGTGGTGGCACACTCACTGAGCTTTAAAAGATAATGTTTCCACAACAGTCATACACTCCAAACAGCAAAAGCTGCGAAGCACTAACTGTAGCTGAAACATTTCCAGCCAACCTTTTTCAAGTGATAACCTTCTACGGGGGAGTGGGCAGACTCACACAGTGTGTGATCCATAGCCAGGGTGTGCAGGCGGCTGCACACCTGCAGCACTCTGCACAAATCACGATGAGGCAGAAGAGACAGGATGCACAACCACACCTCATCAGGCAGACGCAGCCAGCGGTCACATACAGGGACACCTGCTGGCTAATAGGTGTAATGACAACACATTGGTATAGAAATACAATAAAATTCACAAGAATGAAATACGTGCTAAAAAAGAAGAATTATTTTAACACAATATCTTCTTTCTATTTGAAAGCACACAAAAGTACTTTTACGTCAGACATTTAAAAAGGTTTTCACATGAAATTAGAGGCACAACCATGTTGGGATAAACAAAGTGATGATGTACAGATGTCTTACTCTGTGTTTATAGTCGGTGTTGTTCGTATCGCCATGATCTGTTTTACCTGTAAAAGCAAATAAAGAATTATATATTCATATTCTGTTAGGGTGTAACATTGGGTCACCTGAGAAAAATGAAACATCAGGGAAACTTCTACTTTCATAAAACTTTACCAAAGATATAATCACACAGTCAGTTTAGTTTAACAGGTCTTCCTTTTATTTTTATTACTTGTGACCTTCATTAATTAAACACTACAGCCTGAACAGGGCTGTATTCCAACTTTGTTATAACGTCAAAATAAATAGTTAACTTTGTGAGGACAAGGTGTTCCCACAGTGTGACTATAGCGTGACACACAAACACCAACTATGTTGTAACTGTAATAAAATCCATTGTATCTTATGACTTGCTGCAGGATTGGTATCTACTAAAATGTGAAATTAATTTTTTAAGGAACAGAATTTGTTCCTTAATTATATCTGTGTAATGTTATACTACAAGTGTAAAATCATTAACTCCTGTCTTCAGTTTGAGGTCAGTATGACTTAATTTATTCTTCTTATTGTTGCTTTACTACCATAATATTTAATGAATTCTCCTAATTTCATTATAACTTTCTAAAAAAAAAGTTTTTTTACTTGAAGTTGTTGTTTTATGCGTTTAGGGACTACACACTGTTGATGTTTGGGGTCACAGTGACCCCACTGATAAACCAACTCCCTTGAGTGCTATGGATTCTCACATTTTGCCTTTATGTTTAATGTAAAAGGTAATATTGATCAAAACAAAAGTGTTCACAAACATTAAAATGGGTCTATAGTACTCCCCAACATCCTCAGCACAAACACACACACATGCACACACAGGAGCTCTGCAACATCTTCATGTACATATGCACTGAAGCACAGACTCCCTGTCACATCCACATTAGGACCATGAAGATGGCTACATTATGGAAAGCTGACATGGGGAGGAGGGATGTGAATCTGGCAACCCACAGGACAACTGCTTACCCCTGACAGGGATGGAGTAAACACAGATAAAGGGAAGGACAGAGCATTTAAAATTTCATAAGACTTTTGTAGATATGTATTTGCGATTTTGGATATTTACCCAAAGATGGTGATGTTGGTCTGAGGTCATCATGAGGAAGTGTGTGTGTCTCTGCAGGTTCCAGGCATCTGTGTTTATCCCTGGAAAGTGATGTGTGTTTCATTCTGTCCTCTGGTGTGTGTCTTTTTGAGTGTGTTTGTGGATTTAGTTTGGTTGTGTGTGTTGCTGCTCCTGCTGACTGGAGACTGCTGGAGACAGAGGATGAGGTTCAGTTTGACACACTGGTACAGTTACAGTATATATTCGAAAACATTTCATCAGGCATTATGGGTAGCTTTGAAATAATCCCATGTTCGTTATTCAGTAGAGTGAGGAAGATTGTAGTTTTATCTATTAACAAACAGATGTTTCAGTTATTTACTGCAATATCCCTTTTTAAATTGTACATTCTGGAGTTTTTACTTATATTAATAAAATTCAGGAATCCATAACTACTGTACTTTTTCTAAATAGAAATGAATCCAAAATGTTATACACACAAAAATCACTTCATCAGTGTTCATGTGAGTACTTTATCTGCTGCTGTGGCTTCCAGGGACCCCAATGTTCACTTCTCTTCTTTTGACCTTTGACATCCCCCCGATGACCTTTAATGGCTTCATAATGCTCAGTCTGTTTTGACAGCGAAACTGACCACAGACAGAGGGGGAGGCAGTGCACACATGCATCCACAGAAAGACACATAAGTTTAATATATTAATGTATGCACACACACTAAAGTTATGGTTACCATGACAGTTATTTTATATAGAATTGGTAGAAGATGAAATACTGTGCTAACCAAAAACCTGCCCTATAGGCCAGTTGTTCCCAATCTTTTTATGTCATAATGCCTTAAAATATCGTCACTTTTTCATTTTTTGCACTATGTTCTGAGTAGTTGCAGACAGATTTTTCCTCCTAAGATCATTTCATTTAAATGACTTTTCAAGGCCTGAGGAGATAGAAGTATACAGTCCTGCAGTTTTTTGTAAAATACGCTTGAAGCCCTAGACAATAGATGGTACTGGTACAACATTTAACTTTAATTAACGTCTTCCTTCATATATGATATCCAGTACCTGGGTTAGCAAGAAGTGCAGCGCTCTCCTTCACATCATCAGATGCAGCCCTCAGGCGCTCCATAGGTGTGTTAATAACCTCATCAGTTGAGGTTCTGGTCTCTGGAGTTTCCTTTATGAGATAATCACGATTGTTGCCATTGAGGTCCAAATGTGCAGTGCTGGTATTCTTCTGACGCAACAGTCTGCTTTCAGGACTGGGCTCTGCAGATGTTTCCTTGGTCTCTCCATGTTCAGTAAGTGTTGTTCTATTTCTACAGTATGTGGTTCTGTCCTGGTTTTTATTAATGATGTCTGAACTCCCCTCCTTTGTTATTTCTGCAGCTGTAACCCTCTTGCATTGCACTTTATTGAGATGTTTTTTAATCTCAGGATTTGTAGTGGAAGAGTTAAATTCTAAGCTAGACATGGGTAGAGCTGCTGCTGTACTTTCTTCAGGCGTCTTTCTCTGATTCTCAGGTGACTCTGTGGAGCATCCTGATTCAGTATGTTGGCTTTGTCTCATTCTGAGGTGATGCAGTTGATCCACACAAAATTGATACTGCTCATATATTGACAAATTCGATGATAGTTTCAAATTATAGCTGAAAGCAGTATTTGCAGTCTTTGCCATGTGTTTGGCTACTGCCTTTCGTTCATTGTGGGTCATATTATCGTCTGTATATATCACAGAAGCAGAGCTGGATTCTTGCTCTTTATGCATTATTCCATCCTTTTCCACCATCCTGCCATCATCTGTTTTCTTCTTCTCAACATCCTTCCTCATTACTATCTGATTTTCTCCATGTGACAGAGCTTCAGCTGTTTCATAAATCATATCTGTGGAATCACTGTTCCCAGCACCAGACACTGTGCTGTCAGAAATGTTTGTGTGATGTCTTTGATTAGATGTGTAAAGTCTGCTTCTTCTGTCTTGGCTGGGAGTTTGATTATTGGTGATATGCAGTCCGTCCATACTTTTCATACGTCCAGTTTCTCTGTTCTCAGGCCAAACCTTCTCAATACTTCCTCTTCCTTGAAATTCTTCATTACGACCTGCGGTGCAGGAGATTGGATGATTGTTTTCAGCTGATCTTTTTATTTCCCCCTGTTTTGCTACAGCCAATATCAGATGGTCAGCTCTGCATATTTCCTGGTGAATCTCTGACCCACTGCTGATGAAACTGTCAGCCCAGTCCAACACATGCCTCAGCTTCTGCTGCTCACTGAAGAGAGATTCACTGAGAGGAAGAAGGCTGATGCGCCGTCTACTATTTCCAGCGTCCTCCAGGAGTTCAGACATAACGTTTTTGGTACAGTATGTCTCCATAGTTGGATTTGCTGCTAGAGAAGTCCTCTGTTGCTCCTGTTCTTCACAAGTATGTGTTTACATATTTATACATGGCATTTAGCCTCACTTTGTCCACTGCACATGCCCTGATTTAGCATTCAAAGATCTTAATAAATGAGGATCCAAGGTTGTATTAGTAATCACACAAGCAGCTGTGCAGTTAAGGCTGTTTTCTTTCTTCATCACTTCACTTAACCTTCATTTGTTCAGAAGAAATGATGATCAGGCTGTAATGTCTTAACAGCATCCTGCTCAAACAGAAGAAGCAAAACAGCATTTACATTTACAAAAACAATCACCATGCAATACATATTCAAAGCGCGAACATATTCTCTCTATAATTCACTGGCAGCACTAGAGCAGCCAGAGCTTAATCCAGCTCAGGAGGCTCACAAGTCATTCTTAACCTGAAGATTTTCCTTCTTCTGTTTAATTCAGCACACCGACAGCTGTAGAGAATGTACGGTAGACTCACCTTGAAGTCTTTACGTAAATATATTTGAAATTGGGCATAATGACATACCTCTCCTCTCCTGACAGTAAATGTTTGAACACTTCCTGTGTTGTTCAGAGAAACATCACCATAGAGACGCAAACACAAAATGCAGTAACACAGTAACACCACATGAGAGAGACAACATTTTGAGGAAGTTGTCTTGAATCTCAGAGGTTCATACATCAGTGTGTATTGACAGGAATAATACAGAGAACATTAAAGAGATTTTTGATAATTATTTTAGAGAATAAACCCAAACCTCTGTCTTGTTCATAAACTATAATACTGAAACACTCATATAAGCTAATGTGAAATTACTGATGCATTTAGCACTATATTGAAGATAGGGGAGGTTTATTGTGGCAGTAATAACATATAAAACAATCCGTGTTTTCTTTTATAACATACAAACATTCAAAATGTTCACTTCACAAAGTTCATAAGGCTTGGTTGTCCCAGGACAGAAGGGGTCATTACTGTGGGATTTTTTTTTCTGATTCTTCTCAAATCTCCCATTTCTTATAAAAAGAGACAAAAAAAAAAAAAAAAAAAACCCAGACTATTCAATAAAACAATAAAGCAATCAGTTTGGCGAACAACCAAAAATAACAAAGTGACCGTGCAAGAAAATCTGACTGTACATGCCTACACAACACTGAAATAACATACTAAACAACAGTTAATCCTCTTATACCATGTTATGTCCAGTAGATTTGCATATAGTAGACCTGAGTTCAAATATTTAAAATCTTAAATAACTTAATTAAAAGCAGTATTTGTATGTATGTTTAAACAGTTTTGAATTCCAGGTGTTGGTTGTCTGTAAAGCAGACTGATAATTAAAGGCAGGTCATTTTAAATTGAAGAACTTCTGAATTTGTATAAATAATATCTCAGATGTGACATCAACTGATGTATGATCTTCATGATGACTTTATCACTGTTTTTACTACAGGCAACAGAACTTGTACTCTCAGTCAGTCTATATGCTGTTTGTAAAACACAAGAACTCTTAGAGTGATAATAAACCTAGAAACAAGTTCACTAGCTCAAAACAAGAGCTACATCTCAAAGGGATTAAATTCCTTTTTAAACAAATAAAAGATGCTAACTGAAAAATAAGACACAAACTAGTATAATGCTACAGTGTCATGAGACCAAAGATCTGTTTTGTCATAGAACAAAAAGACCTTTTGTTCTTTGCCACGAGTTGAGGTGTAGCTTCACTTTCCTTTCACTCTGTTCAGTGTTTTTTAACATCTTAAAAACTGAACATCTAAACAGTTATTGTTTTTGAATTCCACTGATTCCAATAATAGCATGCTCCATTAGCAATGATGTTTGGTGTTAGCATTAGCATTAACATTTACCATCTGGCGTTAGCAAAAGCACAATGAATCAAAATATTTTAGAGCTGCTCTGTAAGAAACTGTAAAATAATCTTATCCTAGCAGTCATCAAGAAGTGTTCTTTTTTGTATGGAGACATAATTTAACTATTTTGTTTTTGGATCAAACGAAACAAAGCTAACAAAATTAGCAACCACATGTTGCTGTGATTAAAATGAACCCCAGAGCATGTTGTTTTGATTTTGAAATGTGGTCACAATTCTGCTTTCAAAAACTGAAAAACATTTAATGTCTCAGACATTTATTTCTTCCTCCTCTTGGTAAAAATGTGGACATGCATTCATCTAAGATGGTCAAGACAGCCAAGCCTATATCTAGATTACTTTACACAGACAAGACACACAGTGGGAGGAAGGAACTAAGATCTTAAAATCCTTACCCAGATTGTTTTGTTTTGGGCTTTTGTTTGTTTGTTTGTTTGTTTTTTGCCACAACTATAAAACACAGTATTTACAGATGAGGCAGATGAGGGCATGTAGTTTGCATTGCGATATCTGTGACAGGAGCCATGTGAAAGATTCCCCAGGTTAGTTTAAGGAGGATGAAGCACAGAAATAAAGGAGCAAAGCCGAGGACAAATGATGTCTGCACTGCTGTGTACATGAGGCCTAGATACAGTCTTTTTATATTTTAAATCCACAGTGAATTGCTCAAGCATTTTGATGCATGTGCAGACTGAAAGAGCAACAGTTACACATGAAGACAGGATGACATCCCCCTCTGTTAGTTATATGATGGTGATCATTTAGCAGTGCATACAGATCAGCTTCATCAACAGTGAAGCTGTTTCTAGCTCAGCGTCTGTGATATTAAATGTTGCCATCATAGCAGTTTGACCCTTCACTTGTTTTCAGCCTTGAAACTCAGTGCCTGTACTGAACTCGGAAAATAAATGCTTTATCCCAAATAAGCGTTTTTGTTGTTACTGCATATTTTCTATATGCATAAAGCTTCTTAATGTCTACAGAGTTACTGTACATGACAACACATTGGACTGACTGTTTATGTGCATTACAGCGGCCTCTGTAGCAGCCAACATACAAAGAGTATGGAGAGCGATTTCTAAAAATAAATTCTGAAGCATTAGTTCAGTTCTTTGTAAGAACTACGTGAGAGCTTTTGGCTGAGTCTGTGTTGCTACTACTAGTTTGATTGTAGTGTACCAGTTAAAAACTAGCGTCAGTCTGCTCTGCCATGAAGCAGTATATAGGCTCAGGCTAAAAACTCTGCAAGTCATATTTTCATTAGACTGACATAGATACATATATAGTGGAGTGAAATGAGGCTACAATAACAATCTGCAGCCATATTTATATCTGGCTTCAGACCTGGAATAAATACATACAGTTCTTGGATATTCATAACAGTAAGACGTATGGATAAACTATATGGTTTATGTTGTGAGTACTGTAGATGCTTTCTTTTTTTGTGTGTATTTCATTGACACACGTTTGTTATTTTGAACATAAACTGCTAATGCCCTTTCCTGAGAAGTTGATCCAAATTAAACTACATTAGAAACCAAACTTTTCATTCATTGCTGTACCACTCTTCGTTCAGAGCCACTATAGCATAACTGACAGGTGGTGCCTCTATGCAGAACAATCACACTGAGATGGCTGTAAATTCACAAAGGTTACTAGACTCAAGAAGTCTGATTCAGTCTTTAGCCCGGTGATGCGTCACATCATAAGGTTACATAATTTAAGTCTCGGTTTTGTTTCATACAGTGACCTTAACTTTGTGTACAGTCAAAATACACAAAATTAAACACTGTATTACAAAGCCCAACACATAACACAAACAAACTCCTACTGTGAAGTAACAATCTACAGTTCATTTTTGCACCCTTCTCAGTTTTAACCTTGATACTATTCATTTTTGACTCCATGGCTCCAGACTATTTGGGGACCCCAACCATGAAACAGCCTTATTCTCAATTTAGTCAAACCAGAATCACATTCCTAACTTCACCTTTAGACATAAACATACATAAACGTACCCATTTATAACTCCTGACAACTCTGCTTATTCGCTGACAATAAGTCCATGTTCTCTGTTTAAGTGAACAATCATTTCTAATTTGATTAAGGGACTAAACTGATGATCTGCTTCTGTAAGTTAAATACCTGCTGTGTGTGTTCAGTGTGATCAATATCTTAATATCGTCTACAGCAGAAAATGACCAGCGAATGACCTGTATGAGAGATTTAGAGCATTAAATACATCACTCCCGCAACCATCCAATTCCAAAATCACAGTTAACTGTACTACACAGTATTTTTTTCTTCCATTAGCACTTCTTTATACATTTTATGTTAAAACCGAGATGAAAGACGCACTAGTAGCCTTAATCAATGAGCTACTGCTTAGTTCAGACGACATTTAAAGGTTCAACAAAACACACGTTTTATCATCACAAACAGATTAAAGTTTCTGGCATGCTTCCCTCCTGTTTCCAAAATGACATCAAATAATCTGAAATAATTGTAATCTGTGGTCTTTGTAAAAGATTTGTGCTATAGCCTTTGTAGGAAAAACCCAGGGTGCTACCAAGTCAACAAATGTTTATGGTAGTCTTAAAAAATAGCTTAAAAATTTCCACACCCATCACCCAGATAAACTTCAAGAAATTAGCTTTTTTTTTTGGTAATCATTTGTAAACTCTTCATTTCAAAATAAGCTCAAAGTAGAACCTCTGACTGAAAAATTCCTGAAACATCTGGATCACATAAAAATGTACAAAACTTTAAAAACAATCTATTGAAGATCTGTATTAATTAGCCATTTTCATTTTTTGTTTTTAAATATACTGTATATAACGTACCTCTGGCTGTGGATATTGTTGCACTCAGTGACAAAGCGCCGAACGTTTTCTCTCGACTCCATCATGACTGACAGGCTCTTTGACCAATCACGCGCTCCGCTCCGAGGACGAGAACCAATCAGAATGGTTTGCGATATTTACCAGTCTCTGCATCAACTTGTCAGCGTCAGGAGTGAACAAACCATCAAAACTTCCACTAAAATGAAACCAACCTCTTTTGTTTTTGTGACATTTTTCTGTTTATGACCCTCATCTTTTACTTTCACTAACCCCTCCCATCCATGATTTTTTTTTCTTGAACACTTACAGTAGTTCTTCAGTGCCAAAAATGTCTATCTTAACAAGTTATTGGACCCTGTAATTAAAATTTTATTTCTCTCATATCTCACTTTTCTTCAAGACAGTAAATGATGCTTCTGAAAAGGTGAAACAAATGTACTTATTTTAGTATAATCCAATCAGAAATAACACTGTACAAAAAGGTGTCCACATACCGGGAGCTGTGACCCCTTTTCAATAAAACATCCTACTATGATTTTGCTCATAAAATAATTTGGATGTGCATAAAATAATTTGGATGGAAATTATTTAGTCCCATTAGCATGCTTTTTTGCCTCTGTTAAGACTGAATGTAAGATTAAATTACATGTTAAGACAGACATTCGTTTGTTTCTCCTGCAGTGACTTTTCTTTCTATACCTCCTCAGTCTGACCAGAGATTCTCCAAGGCCATGCTGATCTTACACATGATCCAGCGCCGAAGTGGACAGTAATACTCATAGTGAAACTGCTCAAATTCCGGCGTCTGGCGGATCTCATGAAGGAACGACACGTCAATGTCTGACTCCAGCAGTAGCAGCAGTGTGGGCACAATGACAAGCAGGATGCCCATTACCACAGCAACAAAGCGGGCCACGCTCAGCACACATGCATTGACTCTCTCATTGGATGACAGCAGGCGCAAGCCGCTAGTCATAGCTCCACCCATTTGACTTCTGGCAGCCATTCGGGTGCATTCGTAGGCCCGGTCTCGCTCCCTCTCTGCCTTTAGCTGGGCCTGGATGTCAGGGTCAGCGTGGAGCTCCCTCAGTAGCCTGGCGGGGCTCTGGACGGGCGAGGAGAAGATCAAGTCAACGCCCCCCTGACAGTTGTCCACTGGGGTGGGCAGCATACTGGCACAGGGGCTGGAGAGGAGACATACACAATTTAGAAAACAAACATTATTATAGAGCAACTAAGACAAAACAAGAGCCTAAAAGAAGGAAAAGGCAGAAAAAAGATTTCACAGATTGAAGTCAGAGCTGACATTTTTTTGTACCAACAGCACAAGCAAACGCAAAAACACATAAAACTTTCAACTCAAAAATATAATCTCACAGATACATGTTGCCTCAAAAATGGCAAACTTCTGAGCCATGTCGCATCTGGGACCCTAGTGTGATGCTGGCTAGAAAAGGAAATCTGATATTTGCACCAACACACAAAGCATGTTGCAGAAGGACATGGTGCCATAACAACAGCGAGTGTACGCTTAGTTCAGATACAGCAGCGGGACAGCAGCAGTGTTCTGCACCTTTGTAAGTGAATGTATTGTTAAATTCAGTACCACTGTTAATTTGTTGATTACTCAGGATAAACATGAACAGAAAGAGCCATCTCCTTCACCTTCAACCTATGTTGTCTATTCATAGCACTAGTGATTTCTACTTATATTGGCATTATGTATAGTGCTTTCATACCAGCTCCAGAGGGGCTACTGACCACTTCCAGAGAAATACTTCTCTCTTTACTGTTTATGTATAAAATTTCCATTACATTGTCACCAGAAATATCTTAGTTATGACATGTAATTTATGTTTATATGCAAACATGTACTCAGAATTCAATCAAATTGAAAGAGATAATTATATTTTTATTTGACTTTCTTTTTTTTGTTTACTTGTTTGTTTGATGTCATAAAAAACTGTTGATGAAAGTTTAATGTGACTTTTAATACATTTCTAAATCTCTAAACTGGGAGATTAGATATGTTTTATGTCAACCTAAACCTAGATTACCAAATTTTTTGGCACTTTGGGGCAGCAGATACAAACTGCAAACACATTGCTATTATCACTCTAAGATGATATGACAAACCTGTTAGTAAACAGTGACTTACACATCCAGCAGATACAAAGGATACTGGCAATCTAAAATGTAAAGTTAGGAGCCTGAAAAAAGAGGCTATAAAGCATCATTGTTATAAAACTATTAATTATAGCCACTGTGAACAAATTGTTATAAAGCCCTCGACCTGTAGGCGAGCTCAGAGATGATGAGTGTGCCGCCGGCCTCGTCCTGTTCCTCCATTTCATCTTCAGCTTTAGGTATCTGAGGTCGGAGATTTGAGGTTTCCATGGAAACATGAGGAAGCTGTAGGTCATTGCTCAAAGCAGAGTTCCCTCCGTCAGTACTTTGTTGCTCTGTGTCTGCAAGTGCAGCTGATGATTTGAGAGGAGTCAAGGAGACTGAGTCTTTCAGAGCAACACCACCTGGTGCACGAAAAAGACAAGATAGAAAAACATAACATCTTTTACATATATCGTATCCATTAACTTAACAATAAAGATATAATATTAATACTGTACTATGTCATAGGCGACCTATAAGAAAAGATTATTAAAAAAAAAAAAGTTGAAGATGATGTCTGCTTCCACTATGGAGATGTTATATGAGGGGTTGTGAAAAATTGACAATGTTTGCTATTAGTAATACTCTCCCTTATGCTATATCCCATATGATACACTAATATTGTAATATAAAGCATATACTAGGTACTAATGTTGATAGTTTGCTATTTTGGCAGTTTGCAGTGTCACAAATTACCACACTGCCCATTTTCTGTTTCTTGTTATACAGGATACTACACAGCTTGAGCCAAACATTGTCAGTTTAACTGGGAATAATATCAGTGCTACTGACGGAGCAGCCAAAGGGGTGTCTCTCACTGTAGCTTTTTATACTGCAGTTGAACATGCCAGCCATGTGGTGGCACTCCTCTGCTTAAGGATAGAGCACTGACATGTAAAGTGAAAAGTTAAACGTTATTCAATAAATACCCAACTTTGCTTCAACCCAGAAAATGTGAGGGTAATTAGACTTCTAGTGAAATCATACCACAGCTTTGGATCTGTGGTATGGTCATTGGATTTGGCCTATAGATGCTGGCAGGGGACATAAGCTGTGAGCTTGAGTAATAAAGTTCAGGCTGTGATGAACTTTACGATACTGTTTGAACGGTCATTGCGTTCATGGAATAAATATAATGCTCTTGTGTAAGGGTCATTCCCAGTGATGTGACGTAGCCTGACAAGAGAACAGTGAACACAGCTCTGTGTGTGTGTGTGTGTCTGTGCAGACGTTAATACATAATGTGTGAATGTTAAAAATAAGCCCAGCTGTCCTCCTGCTATGGATAAAGGAGGAATTCCAACTAGGTAAATGTTCAGTGATGTATGACTCAGCTTGTCAGCACCTGTCTCTCTCTTTCTTTCACACACACACACAGAGAAAATTTCACTATTCAACAAACAGCATGTTTCATTGCATATTAATAAATTAATTCTTACTGTCTTGGAGTGCACCTACTAAAAGAGGCACACTCTACAACCACAGTTGGTGCCAATCAGAATCCATTTGTCAAAAGAGAAATAAAATCATCTAAAGAAACTCAAGGTCAAACTGACTAATCAGCTACCAAGTCAACTGCTTCAAATACAAGCTAAGAGAAATCAAAGAAGGACAAGGAATGGGGTTGTGGAAAACCTGAGGAGCAGCTGGTGACAGCAGCCACAGAAACAGCAAAAAAGAGTGTGCGAAGTCAGAAAGACAAAAAGGAGAGAAGTCTTAAACTTGGTAAAAAAGGACCAAAAGAAAAATGAGAGGAACAAAACAACATAAGGGAAGAAGCTGGGAGAAGAGCGATGAAATTAGGACATTACCGGCTGCACCTTTAGTGATATAATGTATCAGGCTTGGCCAGTAATAGCCTGATTTTATCATAATTTATTTTCTCACAGTGCACAAATTCTAAGGAAAGAACAGGCGTTAAAGGAGGCGAACACTTGAGCCTTAGGTCCTCCTCAAAATAATGGACCTGTGATTGACATGTTAAAGTAGCTCTAATACAGTAAAGAAAAAGAGAAGATTATACATCAAGATAATTCAAACTGTCTGCGTCTTTAGCTGACTTTAATTGCTAGGGAAATGCTAACTTATGAGGCTGATAAAAATATTTGATAATATTGTATTTTCTTCCCTCTGTCTTTTTCCAAGTGAACCAACTCCGATAAAAGTAGGCTGAAGGAGATGTGAAAATAATCAATCCAAATAAAATGAATGTTTTCCTTCCAGAGATTTTGGATAAATGTATTCCACAAGCACCGTGCAGTCTAAATTGCACTATAAGTGCTTGGTTTGACTGGCTACTCGATCACTATATTACAATGACATTATTATCTGCCTGCTGCAAACTATGTGAGCAACAATGGTGATCAAGCCAGAAATTTTAACTAAACACACTAAACAAACAACACCGTGTTTTCCCATTCATTATACTGTCCACTTTCGCTCTGATAGCTCAGACACAAACTTCTCCCAAGATGAGGTGATTGAGGCTGCAAGGCGTTAGATTCCTGTGTGGCTGCCACACACAAACACACACGCACACAACATGCACACACAAAGAAGGGTATTTCCCTGTTACGTAAGTGCCAACAGACCCATTTACCGTTGTCATTCCACCTCATCATCGACACCCAGACACCTCCAAAACAAGCAAAACCCAAATACTATGGCTGGACATATGTGAACTTGTCTGTAGTCAGTTTGATTGATTTCTCAAGTGATGAACCTGAAACAACGTGCAAGACTCCTGAAACTCAAGAAAGTTTTTAAATTCGGCAAGTCAATCATCTCAATTCTTTTAAGCTCTTTTTATTAGCTGTATTAGAAAAGCACTATAAGGTTAAATGATGTATAGCACTCAGTGTTAGGAAAGCTCAGTCCTAAAATGTCAATATTGAGAGATTTTTCACTGTAACTGCAGACTTTCTCCTCTTACGGCACCTGCTGTTCACCCACTCTGTAAAGATTCAAATGAAAGAGGAGGAGCAGCTTTTGAGCATCATTCTTAAACCCGACTTCGACCTGACGAAGATTCGGTGTCGGCTCAAGGACATTACAGCAGGGTGAATACGTGTCAGCAGGGGTATTACAAAACGGACCCTCTAAGTGAAGAGTCACACTGATGTGCTCGTTTTTCAGTCTACATATTTCTGAAAACAAGTTTCAATGGAAATCCAGTGTACAGACAGCCAAACGTCTATAAATCAAATTATCACTGATATTATATAAAAACTACAAGAAGATGAGATAAATCATCATTAGTACTTTTGTCAAAACATTTGACATAATTTTGTGATTTTTTAACCTTAGAGCTTTTTCTTCTTTGTAAAATTTACTTTTTTGTAACTTTTTGATGTCAGATTTGTCACTTAGCCACTTCTCTCACTTATTTTAAACATCCAGACAGAAAATTTAACATGCTAAAGAACTGTACTGCAGGTATAATATTTTTTTAAATGTACAAAGCACTGAGTATAACACATAATGTATTTGTAGTATTTGAGGTCTACTATTTAATCAGATGGGTGCACACACACAGACAGACACTAAAGAGGCCTCTTGAGAGGCTCGGGATGTTTGACAGATTACACTCACAGTTTCCACTAGGTGGTTGCCACAACAGACCTTGCATCCAAGCTACTGAGCTACACTAGATCATACACTTAACATGCATTCACATCTTGACTGGGCTGTAGAAATACATGTTCAAAACTGTTTCACACTGAGAAGATAAAAGCTTGTCCTCCAGCCTCATATGTAACTGACAGCTAAAATAAAAGTCACCGTCGCCTTTTCCACTGTGTCTTACTTTGTTCCAGTGTATCTCTCTGAGGTCCAGTATTGGTTTCGGCGATGGGTCCCCCACGCCCCACCAGTCGTACATAAATATCCTGTGCCGTGTGATTGGCTATACGTAGATGGATGTTACGCCGTGTTGTTATCTTCACCTGGCACCTCAAGGCTTCTGATACTACTATCGATGATGCTCGCTGCTCTGTAGTCTCCTCTGGGTGGAATACTTCAAGAGGCCTGGCTTGTGCCTCCTCCATCCCCTCATCCTCCAATATCTTGGGGATCATGCCCAGCTGGTTGCTAACACCCAGCTCCACACTGCTCTGCATGAGGCCAACATCACTGTTGCTTCTGTGCTCTATAAACTCCATTATTCAGTCTGAGGACAAAGCTTAGACCAGCTGTCTGCGGCAAGACCTCCACACCCTTACTGGCCAGGCTGCCAGATGAGCTCTGGGGCCAGAACTGGTACACACACAGACATAGACATGCCTATACAAGAGCGACATACATGACACATTCTCTCTCTCTCTGATACACTGATATGGTGGGCCCTCCTGTGAATGTCACTGATGTTACTAGAGAGTGAAGGGGCATTAGAGGAGGATCAGGCCCAAAGCTGCTGTTTCTATATATATCCAGGTGGTCCTGAGTGTACAGGGGAAGCTAATCCAACCTGACCCAGGCCTGAACTAGGATGGGATGAGAATCTCTTTCTTTTCCTCTCTGTAACTCTTTCTTTATCTGTCTTTTCCTCCTGTCATCTACATTTATTTCTGTCTCACTCTACAGTAACTCTGTTTCATTCCAACATTGACAGACAGAGGCAAACTTCATTCACTCAAATGAACCCATCCGAGCAAATTTTTGATTCCATACAAGCACGTCTTGACTATGAAGGGACAAAATTTTCCATTTATATGAACTTAATGGCACACTCGTTTGCTTGAGGAAGACAGAAGGCTCCCACAGTCCCACATGTTGTGTGAAGTGATGGCAGGAGTGTGGCTGTGGCCTCAAATGTGAGACACAAATATTCATCTAATTCCCATGAAACAGCCATGAGTGACAGCCCTAGCCAAAAAATGACCAGTGTGTGGCTTTTGGTAGATAAGATGAGGCAGCCTGAACAAACACATCAAGGTCAGCACTGACCTTGGGTCAGTTTCTTGTTTCCTCACTAATAACTAAGATTAGTGCTCTGAATATAGATAGTGATCCCAGACCAGCTTGGGGACACCTTATCTCCGAGTCCTTGCAGCAGCATTCTTAAAACTGTCTAAAGGTAGGGGTACACTCAAAACAAATAATATAACAGACTGTAAAACGTGTCGTCCAACCAAGTCTGTAGGCAAAAGCAACTATAACTATTACAAACAGCTACACATGAAGGTGGGGGGAAGCCTGCTGTATTATCCTCATATTAAATGGGGATAACAAGGCACTGAAGGCATTTGGTGGCTTGCAATCTCACTCACAAAAACTGATGAAAGCATTGATACAATACATGTAAAAATAGGGCTTGAAAGTGAAGTTACAACACTGCATACATTCTCACTCCTGCACACCTGGCCAGTGTGTGAAGTGGGCTGTTTTCTGTTTTATATAACTTTAAGGTTTAGTCCACTTATTTTTTTAGACCAAAGCATGGTCATCAACATCATCAGCTTCCAAACCAACACAGAGTGTCAGGAGATGCAGTGGGAAGCAATGCATTTTTAAATTGAATTAATTAATTCAGCCTGTATCCTGTCTGAGGTGAATGAGCTTCTGATTTGATGACCACCTCCTGCCCATCTTTAAATAACCAACAGAGGCAGCTGAGATTGGTTAAAGCTGCAGCTCTCTCACCCTGAGCCAAGACAGAATTGATTTTCCTTTAAATGGGATGAGGGGAGATGAGAACAGGAAAGGGGAGGACAGGGGGGAAAAGCGTGGGGATGACTGTAGAAATGTCCATGAACAGTTTGAAGAGGGTGATGGCAGAACAGCATGATTGTACAGTGCAAAATTGTCAAGGTTGATGTGTGAGAATAAAGGAAGGTGAGGAAGGAGAGACAAGTGTGAATGAGGGGAAAAGGAGTTAGGTAACAAGAGAAGGTGTCCATGTTGGTGAAGGTCATGTCCTGTGGTGTGTAGAGAGGATGGATGGAAAAAAGAAAAGATACAACACAGCATCAATAACTTATGGTAAGAACAGGCTCCTTACAAGGTGTTACTGTAATATCATTCTCCAGTGAGGATGTGGGGAACATGTGCAGCTCACTTTTCAAAATCCTAGTGCAAAAGAATTAATTGATATACATGCTTATAGCCCTCTCCAGTACTGTGCACTCACTTTTTTACACCCTGAATTTTGTCTTTCAGGCTAAAGGCTGCTGTAACCCTGTGATTGGTGGAGGTTGTTGGGGATCAGCCTTATTTGATTGTTTTGATTAACACCTAATTTACACCTTATTTCTGAAACCAACCTATACTCTGGTCATCAGACACACACGCTCATTTACTGCACAAACCTTTTGTTCTGCCTCTCTTCTATCCAACTTCTTTATTAGATTTTACATTTCTTCTGAAATATGACCTTCCATTTGTCTTACATTGACCCTTACTTCCTCCTGTTATGCTTTACCAGACACACTCCTCCCTCCTGCGCAGCCTTTCATCCAAATTGAGCCTGTGGCTACATCCTTCTTAACCTTTGTTTCTCAGCCCTACAGTCCATTTTCTCCTCTCTCATATTCTCTCCATCTCGTTTCCCTCCTCCAGCTCCATCAGCAGCTCTCGTATTTTCTTACCACCTTAACCTTACCACTGGCTCTTCCCCACCTACTTTCTTCTCCACAAACAAAGAAATGTATGCTTCAATTAGATATAGTGTAGGTCATAGAGGAGAATGTTAGGATTAATAACAGAAAGAAAAGGTGTCAATGACTAGAGATAACATGCAAAAATGTCAAAAGAGAAACATTAAAACCCACAGTAGAACCTTTTATGGACTACATAAATCTGCTGTGGGTTGGTGGGTGTCCTCAGGAAAAAAATTCATAAAACACTAACTATTCTGTGCTTCTTCATCAGTTTTTCTCCTGGGCAGTGTTGCTCTTCTTGGTCACATCACCTCATAATGGGCAAAGAACAAGCCCTACTCTTGTTTTACCTTCTCATGGCAATCCAGGTTCAGCTGGGAGCCAGGTGTCATGATGATAACTTAGCTGAAATACCCTTCATCAACCATCTTCACCATACACCTCACCACTAAATGAATACTTACCTAGGTTTAAATGGAACTTTTTTCATAATAAATATTTTTGCTAGAATCTGTAGCCTATCATATTTTATGGAAGTTTCCTAGAAACTTTATAGGAAGAAGTAACAGACCCGCAACATAGCGTTATTAATCAGTTTTATGTGATAAATACAATAAATATGCGCTCAGTCAGTTTTAACTTATCGTATGGTTTTATATCCTAAACCTTGTCCTGAAAATGTTTATATAACAACATATAGGCTACATTTCCTGTTATGACAACAGAAAAGCAATGAAATCACATTAACATGGGGAAAATATAAAGAAGGTGGATTTCATGCTGCAGTCAGTATAGTTCTCCATAGTTGTTCTTACTTTTTGCTCTCAGTTTCACAGTGAAACCACTGAACGTTCACAAAACCCACATAAAATATTCACAAATACAAGCTTGCAAACACAGAGGCATACAAAGGCAGCGCTCTTGGAGCCAAACAAACAACTTCTAATCGAGTTTTCCTTAATGATAAAACAATCTAAGTCTGCGGCTCTGTTTCCACGATGTATCTTGTAAGATACAAACACTTGGACACATGGGCACACAAACACATACAATAATGGTAGTATCCTTAGGGTGGATCATGGAAAAGGTATTTTTAGCATGTTGTGACATGGTGTCTCAAGGGAGACAAGACTGATGTAGGGATGCGAGCATCAGCTGCTAATTTAACACTCTTAGCAATGTGCATGTGCTTCATCCAGCACATGGGAGACCCCATGTGATTTTCCAGAGTCTGTGGGTGTGTGTCTGTTTATGTCCATGTAAAGTAATATCCTACTGTTGTCCGGGGCTGTCTCTTCGTATTCGTTGGTGGAGGGCAGTGCAGGTACCAGAGGTTCCATGTTCATGATGAGGTTTTTATGGCTCAAAGAGTTAAAACTTCGACTGTGACCAAACTGGGCTCTGAAAATACAATTATCAACAACAGTCACTGTTTTGTGCATTACATTCTGTACTGTGTGTAGTGTTTGTGTATTGTCTTGTATATTGACAGAATATCTGCTCCAGACTTTGCTCTATTTTCACAGGCCTTCCTTGCACATTTTGCTCCATAAATGTATGATAATTAGAATGATTTTACTAGAAATAAGCAAGTAGACAGTAACCTAAATTCTTTTAACTGTTATGTAACTTTGTGAGAGACTTGTCACTTCTTACCTATGCACCTCTGGTGGCTCTCTCAGAATCTTTGAGCTGGCTTCTATCACCTCCTTTGCTACTCGTCCACTAACAAGAGGAAACACACATCCATTGTAAGAAAGACAAAGAGGGGGGACTGCTGTAAAAAACAGTAACTTAGATTTTTTCATTGTGCATTTTTCTAATTGCATTAGAAAGAGCAACACAAGAACAAAAACAACTAACAAGTAGCATTGACAGGCCATTACTGTATATACAAGGAAGTCTACCAAAGAATCAATGACTTCCTGCTTTAAGTCAACGTTGAGTTGGCCACCCATTCTAACTTCAGAATAGATTCTGAGATTTTAACATGCAATTTTAATATGGGTCTGTCAAAAAAACTAAGTCTCAACTTGGACCTCAAATAGTTTTGTATTAGTTCTACTAAAAAGCTGCTAACATTTGCATGTGTTATTTTTCATTGCATCCCTATCAGTCACTATAGCTGGTGTAAATTGAATGCTAGGCATGTCAGAGAGAATATAATTACATATAATTGCACTGGTTATTGTCAAAGTAGACAAATATGTGATTTTTTTAAAATTGGTATTACAGTTGTTGGACATGATCAGTTTCTGCTTTTGCTGAGCACAAAGGACCCTGAGAACAGTGTCAGCAGCTCCATTAGTCTGATTGTTGGGTGAGTGAACCTTCTGGATACTGACCATGCTGTTTCATGTCAGCAGGCTGCACCATCCTGCCCATTGTCTATTGTTGTTGAGGCTGATGGTTCGTTCATAAATTAGAGGGTGAAATGATATATCTGGGGTGGTAGACACTGCACTTGATAGCCCATGGGACAGCCTTGGATAAAGACCTGATGGGCACTGCTTTACAAAATTTACCTTAGTTTGTGGCCCACAGATTTCTTTCCCTTTTTCCATTTGCACAAATGACCGATTCCAATATTTCAGAACCAACTCCACCATATTCTATTACTCATTGTTGAGCCCTTAAGCCAAACTGCTTCAATCAGCTGATGAAAGTGAGGGATTAAATTTAAGCCTAGTAGAGAGCTTTGTCTGAGAGGAAAATCAAGGCTAACCTGGCTTCAACAACAAATTTATATAGAGGATTTGATGTGATATTAGGGTCTGTAAATCACAGAAACCAACAGTGGGCAGGATATTAGGTGTCGATGCACAAAGAGGAGAAGCAGCATTTGGATCTACAGCACAGTGTGTTGATGAGCTCAAGGTAAATGGTAAAAATAGTACAGGTTAGGACAAGGCCACATCAATGCAGGAAATGCATTTACTTCTCACTTTGGCAGCAAAGACCTGAAATTAAATGATGCAATAGTAAAATGTAAGGTGTAACTGTAAGGGTTAAGTGTCAAACTGCTGAGAGACTATGGGCAAGTTAGAGTTAAAATCTATCATATGGATACATTTGATTCCAAAACTGTATGTCCAACTACATTCACTGGTTAAATTCCGCCATTACTTTCTCTTATGTGGTTCCCCTTTTTTCTTTTCTTTGACTGTTTCATACGTATATGCATATCCTGCTCGTTTTGCGTTGAAGACACGGAATGTTTTAGAGTCAAATTTCTATCTTGTCATAGTTTTGTCTAGAAATACATGCACACACTAACATGAACACTGTCTCACCTGTATCTGAACCTGCTGCCTTTAAAGAAGATGTTACTGCTGGAAACTGTTTTGATCTGACTCGACTTTGCACACCTGTCAGAGAGAGGAAGAAACAAGAAGAGACAGAAAGAACTTCATTATCGCAAAGCATCTAAAGTACAAACACTGAATAACTCCTTGTAAAAGCATTTTCAGAGGCTTGTTTGTGCTTGTAAATTTAACCCTTTGACCCTTTCTACAGCACATCTACCTGCAATGCACCAACAGTGACAATCATGTACTGTGGACAGACTGGCCTCTCAGTAAGCAGAAGAGGAAGGTGTTTCAAGGTGCATCATTTTAAAACTTTATGGTGGAGGACAAGCCTTCGTGTTTGGTTCAGTATTGTTTGTCATGTGAAACCAGACTCCAGAGCAGCAGAGGTGGTGCTAGAGTCACACACCACTGCTCTGCCTAATGTCTGTGACAGACAGTGAGAGAGGATCTATTCTCCTAAAAGCTCTGCTTGGCTGCCATTTACAACCTCAGTTCACTCTGAGTTGATTAAGAGCTCCAATACTTGTCTGACATCTGAGATGACAACCACTCCCCCTCTGTGTCGGCCTTTCAGAGACAAATGAGCTGCTGTCATTAAGAAATCAATATCCCCTATCCAGGGTTATGCAGGCAACAGCTTTCAAAAAGCCATTATTTGTTCACAATTGTTCTCCTTTTGTAAGTTTATATCTATCTATTTTTTTCAGGACTTTTTAAAAAATATAGCAGCAAATAAAATAAGACAGAAACAATAACAAGGAAAAAACATATGGAAATATCCCATAACAAAGAAAGTGTGGGTACTGGAAAATGAAAATGAATGCAGTAACAAGGGTGAAGCAGACCTGTGGAGTCACATAGCAGTTTATGTCAAAGTTTGAAAAACCTCCTCTCCTCCAGCCAGACTCCACATTAAATCCGACCAGCTGTTTAAAGTCAGCAGCCCTTTTCATCCCACTCTACACCTCCTTCACACCCCAGCACTTAGGCCAAGAAGCTCAGAGAAACTGGTAGTTTAAACATCCACATTTTTATGACAAGTAGAAAAACTCCCTCTGGTGATGAGGTTCATAAAAATTTGAGGTGAGATTGTTTTCTCAATTGTTGTTTCCAAGGTCAAGAATTAACTTCATAGCTATTTTCTTCTTATCAGGAGGGTGATTTTTAAACTCACACAGTTTCACCTTCTCCCCAAGCTTGTTACCATTCCTGACATGCAAACAGTGTCAGTCGTCACTACAGAGCAGAGCAACAGCCTCGGAGCGATCCGCTGCGCCCTGATGAAGAACAGCAGCGTAATGTTGCAGTGCCACAGAGAGGCAGCAAATTAAGATGAAAACAGATGACAATGTGCTAAAAAAACATAAAAGTTGAGCGTGAAGGAGAGCCAGTTTGAGCCAGATGTGAGCACTAAAGAAGAAAAAGGACAAAGGAAATCAAGAGGTATAAAACTAATAAATAAAATAAATATATTTAAATAACTATCTTAAAAATGTATAATGCTGAAAAGTCTCAGTGATAATATATGTTTATTTTGATGAAAGGGACATTTTGGCCTGGAACTATCTCGGAGTTAAAGACCAGCTTGGTAAATTACAGTATATGTGTAAGTGAGTGTGTAAAGGCATGTCAGACGCACTTGTAAAAAGCCTGGTTCTCCACCCCGCACTTCCATAAGTGCTTACACGCTGCCGGGGTTGAGGTGTGAAATGTCAACACCAGTTTTTTCTGCACAGAAAAGGACAAAGACACAGAGAGAGAAAGACATCAAGGATGAGAAATGAGGTTACCAAAAAAAATAAGGACAAGAGAAGTGCTGGACACGATGAGAGGGAGCTGTGCAAAACGCTGACCAACAGACCCAAAGCCATAAGCTGAGCAAGATGTAAGACAGATATAGTGTTTTGGCTACAGTGTTCAAGCAGTAAAATGGCCTGTAGCTAGGGTTTAATGGAGTGGGAGAAGGAAGGATTACAATCCTGTAAATGTCTAGTTTTCAGTCCTGTGTATCTGGTAATATGAGACACCAGATCAATGCTGCTCAACAACAAGGGTAGGAGGGAGAGAGGAAACAGTGAGATCAATAACACGGAAGCCAGTTACTGTAAAACAGTAACAATCATGGTACACCACACTGTACACATTTTATGCAAAAAAAAAAAAAAAATCGGGACCTTAAATCATAAGCTGGTCCAGGAAACCACACCACACTTTACAGCTGTGCACTGATCCAGTTGGTTCCTGTTAGTCAGTGATATTGCTCAACCCCCTCAAAGATGCACATCAGTTATGTCAGGTTTACATTTGTGATTTACACACATCAGCTGCAGTAGCCATGTGTGTGGTCACAGGCGTGTGAAAGAACCAGAACGGCATGTTAAAATATTATTACCAAATTGTCTTCAGTCCCACTTTGGCTGACATGCAAAAGTGCTTTTAAAGCACGGCATTTTATGATGCTGACAAACTGCATAGCATTTACCTTGTGTTTCTATTATCTGTTTTTCTGTTATCTAATCTGATAAACCAATTTGCTGGCTAGTTTTCTACTGCTGTAACCAGGTGTAATGTTAAAACTGTTTAACTTTACCATTAAATTTGATTTATAGGCTGGGAAACCAATAGGTGACTAAAGAAATAGGAGATTACAGAAAGTGATAAAAATAGATTAGCTATTGTTTATAAGACATTTTAAGCAAGTGTCACAGTAATAAAGCTATGAAAAGTCAGTTTATAATGGGAAAGTTAATGTGTTTCAGGTTAAATAACAGAGGTGAGGGCAAAGAGTGGCATCATGCAGTGACCCATCTATACACCAACACATAAGTAAATTCAATAAAATAATTACAATGCTAAATAAAATACAGTGAAAAGTAAATTATGTTTATATACAGTATACACACACAACAAGACAGTTAAAATAAAGAAATCAACAATTTTCTTAACACACACATAGACAGTTATAGATTATACATGATAATATCACATAATCTATAGTTTACTGATAATGGAATAATGTTAATGAATATCCTGTGGAAAAATTGGACCGCTGAGGAATACTAATTAACAGAAGAAAACTCTGGACAAATGAGCCAAAAAAAAGACAAAAAATTAATAAACTAAATGCAAACTCAGCGTAAACTAAACCTAAATGGCATAAACAACATTTAACATCTAAATAATGATCACAGTAAAAAATAATAATAATAAAAAAGGCTCCTGCAATCATAAGGGTCAGGCTGCTGGGAGAGGCATCAGACTGAGGATTTAAGTACAACAGTGCTTTGTGCTACTGCTTTCACTTGTATGTACAGTGGGTATGGAAAGTATTCAGACCTCCTTAAATTTTTCACTCTTGAAAATGCAGGTGTGAAAAACTTGTTGCATCATTCCCAAAAAGACTCATGGCTGTATTAGCTCAAAAGGGTGCTTCTACTAAATACTGAGCAAAGGGTCTGAATACTTATGACCATGTGATATTTCAGTTTTTCTTTTTTAATAAATTTGCAAAAATGTCAAATTCTGTGTTTTTCTGTCAATATGGGGTGCTGTGTGTACATTAATGAGGAAAAAATGAACTTAAATGATTTTAGCATATGGCTGCAATATAACAAAGAGTGAAAAATTTAAGGGGGTCTGAATACTTTACGTACCCACTGTATGTACTCACCTGCGATGACTATGTTTACACACAGAGAGAAGAAACAGAAACACAAGGATAAAACTGCATCTTCAGCCAGTCATGAGTTGCCAAACAGACAACCAGGCAGACAAACAAGTCAAGCAGAAATGAGAGAGCTGGTTTCAATCTTCCATAATGAAGGGAACAGTTACAAGGCTGATCAATAGACCGATTGGCTGATTGAAAGAGTAAAGAGCAACCTGGCTATAATTACAGTAAATGACCATTTTGTCACCTGTGACTGAATCGGTATGGGTTCATGTGTCAGTCAGACAGCAAGGTGAGACAAAATCAACTGTAGTTCTAGCAAAAGCTGTATGCACATATATGAGGCATGATGCACCAAAATTACTGCTCAGAATTTACCACAGCGACAGACTGGATGACAGACATCAAGCACATAGGTAAATGAAATGTGTGTCCCAAATACAAGACACCTGGGTTAGTTTAACACAACCGTTTTAGCATTTGCTGTGTGTTGGTTTCTAGGAGAGACGTCATATAACGTATATTTGTTGAGGATGTTGGACGCTGTGAAGGAGTCTCATATTTGGGCCACAGCTGACACATAATGTGAGTGAGGAGGCAACACACCCACCATCCTGTTACAGTGAATCCTGCCTGTTAAGGAGATCTGAAACAGCGACACACATATACAGTGTGTGTAATGGTGGATATTACATAGACAAACAGTACAGTTTCATAGCAAAGATTTTAGAGTAAACATTAAACAGATAAAGAGAGGGAAAAGGAAAGGAAGGAAGGAAAGAGAAGAAAGGATGGACACTCAGAGGAAAACTGGATTAGAATGGACATAGACAGTAAATGGGCATCCACACTACAGTCATGGTCATTTTTCTACTGTACTCCACAGATGTTAGAGTAATAGCACAGTAATAGTAATGATGACTTTAGTACAAGAATACACAAGTCATTATGAGGGAGAAAACTACACAGCACATTTACTGTGGTTCCTCACTTTTAAACTTTTAGAGGATATGCTGCACTCACCTCTTTCTGAATCCCAATGACGTAAAAGGTTTTCCCTTCAAACTTCAACTTGCTGACGTCCACCCTGCAATGAACCACAGTGTTTAGTATGGATTAAAAACAAAACTATTTAAATACAAATTTCTATTCTAAGGATAATTAAAGGTGTCTTAGTGTTCTTACAGTCATGACAGTTAAGTAAACAGTAAGTTTTATCATTAGTGTGTGTACATTTGCACTTATTAGCAGTGGTGGAATGTACAGTAATATGTAGATTTATTCAAGTATTGGGTTCATTTCCCTAGCTCCCCTGACTGAACTGTTTGCTGTAGATTCTGTCAACTTCCTTTTGTTATGCTTTGTCAGGTTGAGCTCCATATGTTATACCCTTTGTCTTATGTTTCCTGTGTATTAAAATTCTACTTGAGCTATCCCTTGGCCTGTGTCTGCATATTTGGGTCCTTCCCTTCACAATCCACTACTCTGCATAATGAGTGTTACCTTTGATACTTAAAGTACATTTTGCTGTTTAATTGGGTAAAACTCTGAATGCAGAAGAAGTGGTACTTTGACTTCAGTAAAGAATCGATACTTTTCTCACCACTGCCTATTGATAATGGAAGCAAAAAACTAACTTTAGCTTTTATCAAATGGTGGACCAGTTTGCTTTATTGTGGACCAAACAATTACTATATAGGATGAATCAAAACATCCCAGGATGCTGCTAAATGTTCTCGACAAAATCCTGCAGGAGATTCATCAAATTAGTGAAACCAGATCATCTCAATATGATGTAAAAGGGAATAAAGCTCTGCCATGACAACCAACGAGATGAAACATAGTGTGAGAAAAGTATAATGACTGGATTTGCTAGAAGCTTTACACTTAATTTTCATGCTTTCAGATGACTATTTAAGATGTAAGGACACTTTGTACCATTTGAGGAGGTGGATCCTCTTGTTTCCCTGGAAGACCACAAAACCTGTGGCTGTGAACCCGAGAAAGGCTGTGGAGCCCGTAAAGTCCTGAAATTGTACACACAGAGTGAAAGGCAGAACATGGCATTATAGGACACAGGTGGACTAACACCGGAGAGGCAAAGTGGGTCAAATAATCTCCATGGGAATAGCACCTAGACAACATCCCTTGTTTCCAGCTTCAGGCCCTCACTTTGCAGTAACTGGCATCGAGAAGAAGACAGAAAATACAGAACAGGCAGACTCAGTTTTTAGTGAGGCAAAATCAGTGCAATAACTACAATGTAAGAGAACACCGTTTCCTCTTTTATCTGTAGCCCTCCTTTGCTTTGCTGTTGTGCCTCTGCAGATAAAAATGTTATTAACTAGAGCCTTAGATCTCTCAGGTCACTGTACTGTATGTGTAACTGATCCAGTCACACTCCCCAGCAAAGCCTAAAACTTCCACATAACAGCATGAACAGCCTCAGGAAATATTCATACGTGTCAACGAACGGCTTGAAATAAGTTCAGTGACAAAACTGTGCTCTTTTTTTCTTTATTAGTCGTCAGAATAACAGGAAAAAACTTAAAATTGACAGCAAAAATAGAAAATGTAGCAGGGCAGAACATTTACTCACTGTACTATTATCCAAACATTTTATTCTGACATGAGCGCAACTGTCCCTTTGATTTTATTATATACACTAAAAGCCATTGTGTTTAAAAGTATGTACTCTATAGAGTGAGAGACAGCGAGTAATTTATGAAGCCCTTCAAGACAGTTTTTTTTATAAATTACAATCAAGGAAATGCAACAGTAATTTCAGCCAAAGAATAAATTGTGCCAATATTAAGAAAGAGATTTGCACCACTTGGACTGGAACATCTTTGTCAATATCAACCACACCAGCCAGAAGGGATGACAATGTACTTTAAATAAAAATAATTTTTTTTAACTATTACCTTGCACGGATGCGGGTCAACTCCATATGTTTCCAGGCTGTGAGCCCTTTGGAGCATGTTCAGCTCTGCAAGGGCAGCACACTGGCCCCTAAAAGAGGAGCAGAGAGGAAGGGTTTATTTAAAAATCAGCACATTGATGCTTTTAGTGTATATTCCTGAGTTTGTAGTACAGGTTTAGTTGAGCCTTCATGCTGATTTAATCAGTCAGTTTTGCATGCAACAGCAGAATAGACTGAACAGAAAAAGCCAAATCCAGCCCTGGAACCCACACATAATCTTCACTGCTTGTATGAACAGATGTAAACATTTACATAAGAGAAGGTCAAATGTTGCCACAAATAAAAAGTTACACTGTGGGCTACAGCATGAGCCCCATTTATTTAGCCTTTGTTTACTGCTTTAAAAATTAAGTGTGCCAATTTTGCTATTAGCAGTTCTTGCTTGCTATGTACTATTATCTATTCTGACATCTGTTAACAAATTGATTTGATACTGTAGAATTTTAAACATCCTGATGATTTTCAGGTACAGTAAGTTATGAACATTATTCTTTCTGTGATTTTTAGGTGGCGTTCTGGACAGTTATTCACAGTAGACACCAGAAATAATGACATCCTTGGGAAGTGTAAGTCACAAATCTACAAATGTGTATTATGTCTGTGTGTTAAGTTAGAAGCCTAATTCTTGATACAAACTGTAGTTTTCAGACGCTACGGGTTTTAGAGTTTACCCTAATTGCCTCCATGGCCTATGCACCAGTGCCATACTGATGATGGCGCTGTTAAGTGAGCTAAACTACAGTAACTGACTTCCTGTTTTTGTCCCTTTCAAACCATGTGATATCTCTGTCACATGTTTATCCTGCTGTGCCCCCTTACAGTTTGAAGACCTCTTTTCAAACTTTATTTTTCACAGGTGGAAGTTGTCTTAATTTTAATTAAAGCCCAAATCAGCTTTAGCTTTAGAGAACATGAAGGAAAACCACAGTGCCAGTGTGACTGAGATGTATAGGCTATTGTTGTCATTTCATGCAGTAGAACACATTTTAGTAAATCTGAAAGTGTTGTCTGCATGTCTCACTAATTAAAGTCTTTACATTTGGCCTGGATTTCATTTTCTGTGAATATCTCACAGAAACAGATGTAAATGAAGGCCAAGTGTTTGGTGGGAGTGTTGATGCTTTATTGCTCATTATTCTAAGTGCTGCAAAGTCAACACAGCTACTCACTGAGACACCAGACATATAAATCAACAATAAAATTGCACACACATCCATCTCATCTGTGTATGTATATAGAGTAAATTATAAACACCTTAAGAACTTCTTGACTATGGAAATAAGATTGATGCTCCTATTTGAGTCTCTCTACAGTGCAGTGCTAATCCACAGGCTGTTAATCCTGTCAATTGGACCCACGGGGCAGGCAGAGGGCACTTGGCACCTGCCTTACTGCTGTGGGAAATAAAGGCTTTATCTTCGATGGCCTGTAATCGCTGTAAGTGTGACAGTCACAAACCTCAACATCATTCATGAGCTGCAGTGATAATGTAAATTACCCAGCAGAGGCGGTTTATGTAAATGTTACTGTATAATAACTGATTTTATGACTTTCAATGTAATATAAATTGTATGAACACAGAAGCCTGTGTGCAATAATCTTCTCATTTGTATTGCATTATGCACAGCCAATCTTAATCACGCTGATGTGTGTTTGAACAGTTATCAGGAGACAAAAAAGCAGGGCTTATGATCACATGCACAAGAACATAAGTAGATCAAATTTATTGGGTCTGGGTTCAGATCAAATCTTAGTCCATATTGCACCCTGTAAGGCTGATTTTCACCAAACTAAAACTATGAATATATTCCAGTAGCAAGCAGGTTGTTCAAACCACACTTAAAATAAACAATTCATGCTCATTCCTCTGCAAATTAATTCCAGTTTTTATCTACTTTCAGCTGAATCTAAACTGCAATGTTATGAAGCACAATTCTCTGGGTGTCATCCAATTTTCTTTATACCGTGCCAGAACAACAGAAAGTGCTTTATTGTGAGTGGAGTAGAAAACTGTCTCCGCAGCTTGTTTTGAAACCACAGATCACAGGAGCGAGCATCCACGCCTGCCACCAGCATCAAACAGCACACTGATAACAGACGCTGCTCCAAGGCAACAAACAACCTTACCAGACGCACACACACACACACATACATTTCTTTTACCTGAGCTCATTCTTGTGTATTTCCATAATCTTCCTCTCCAGTTTGAGGGATTGTTTAGGGAACAGCTTGAAGTCTCTGATGTAGTCTGATGGGTGCTCCTCTGGGTCGTAGTCCCCGAGCTCAGCTGTAAGCAGAGGGTGAGATCAGTATGTAATCATGGGGGTGGCATGGTGGGGCAGTGGTCTGCACTGCTGCCTCACAGAAAGATGGTTCAGGGTCCAAGCCCAAGCTGACCCAGTGCTTATCTGTGTGGAGTTTGCATGTTGTCCCTGTGCCTTCCAGGACAGTATCCTACCAGACACTCATTTCTCTTTTAAAATCCATTCTTAATGTCTTCCATAATAAAGGTTAACTCAAAAACTAGCCTCAAGTTTAATTAAACGGTAAAATCCTAAACCTACTCTCTAGCTGTATAATCAAAGCCCTGACAAAGAGGGATCTGTCCTTATTAATCACAGCAGCCAATGATGCACTGCAGTCGCACTGTTGGTCCAGATATTTCAGTCACTCACACAGTGTTCGCTGGGGATATGAGCCAGTCAGAGAGTGTTAGCATAGCTCATCACACAACATGGTTGACTGAAAAGATCATGGCCACTATTAGTCTGCATACCTGTGTAAAAATGTCTTAAATGACTCTTATACTGAGATTTACAGTAAGAAAATATATAGTTTGTAACCGAACACATAAAGTGAGTTGAAACTAAAATACAGTGATACAAAACAGCGAAGTATTTATTTGTCTACTGATGTCATGTGTAACACTGTAAACAACATAATGTAATTTTTTAATTTGTTCAATCTAGATAAACAGCAACAAAATCAGGAGAGATATCCATGAGAAAATCTTCAAAACAGCTGTAGAATAATATATAGTATACAATACAAAGTAATAATTGTCAGGTGTACCCCTCACCCTGAACAATGCAGGCTCCCAGATATGCAGCATCAGCAAAAGGACAGAGGAGACGACCATGGTAGATATCTCTCTTCAACTGGAGATACAGGAGATACCTGGACATACACAACATACACACAGTTTATAAAAAAAAGAAAAAAATGACAGATACAAAACATGACTGTGTTTTGCATTTGTTACTCAAATGGAAAGCTTATTTGGTCTACAGTGAGGCAGTGTATAGCGGCAAAATACCTGCAGATGTGCAGATGTTGTCAATGTGCATCATTCTTATTGCATCAAAGTGTAACATTTATTTTGTTATATTGTGACACAGGTGGATACAGTAAGCTCACACATTATAAATGAGAATCAGTACTGTTGTATCATCAGCTTCATGTCATCTTCACAATAAATATTTCCAGTTAGGCAAAGGATTAAATTCCTAAAACGAATTCAGCCACAGTCCGTGATAATCTGCCTGTGTTGCCATGGCAACAAGACAAACAATTATTGCCATGGAAACAACTATCATAGGGCAGGCATTGGTACTGTCGTTACTATGGAAACAGTTTCAATTGAGGCATCCCGCTGGCATGTTGATTTCTCTTGGAGACAAAATCCGACAATGGTGCTGAATCTATATGATGTGTTGCCATAGATTCAGATGAGTTTCCACAGGAGACGACATCACCGAGTCAAATGACTCATTAAACTTGTTTTTGAACTTGAATGAAAGATGCAGCAGAAGTAAAGCATGAAAGACTGAATGGAGCGAAAAGCTTATCGCTGTGGCTAAATCGTTTTCTTTATAGAGCCAGTCTGTAGCTGCATGGAGGTTCTTCAAGAACACTGCTATATTTAGTGTGTTTCATTTTGTTCATCTCTGCTTTCTTCTTTTCATATGCTGAGCTTCCTTATCTGCTATTTCCCTCCCTTAACTCTTCTTATGGATCTTACAGTTACAGTATCTCTCACATGCTTCCTGTTTCATGTAACAGTAGTTTAGTCTGTCCTTCACCTGTGTTACAAATGTAATTTTCTGGTTTAATTAAGGAATACATCAAACGTCATAATGACTACAAAATGCTGAGTCTCATAGGCCTACAGTTTATTCCATATTTCCCAGAAAAGAGACATGTCTTGTTCCACTGTCTAGTTCTCCCTTCTTGCTCAGCCACCCATTAACCCTCCATTTTCCAGTAGGTTTTTACCTGGTGAGCTCTTCCTTGATTTTCATTGGCTTGTGGGGATAAAACTTGACACGGAAGCACATTGTGTACGGCTGCTGAGCTGCTGAAGACAATAGACACACAAACGTGAGAAGAAATGTTTAGGTGTGACGAAGTAGAGGGCAGTGAAGAAAGATTTGGAGACAAAGTAATTTGCAGTAGAAGTGAAACATGACAGAAAAGTCAGAAAGATGAGAGAACGATGCTGAAAGAAAGTCGATGTTTCAATTTGGAGAGAAGGAGGAAAAGGAGATAAAGGACTAAGTGCAAGAGAGAAGAGGAGCACAGCAATGAGCATTATGTAAAACTGAAGAGACTAAAAGGAAACCACAGAATGTGAGTAATACTGATTAGTCATTTTATAATTACAGTAATTTGTCATCACACACACAAAAAAGGCCTCACTTGTCCTGGAGTCTGTCTCTGTTCCTTTAATCTTAGTCCTACAGCATTTCATCTGTGTGTGTGTGTGTGCACATTTGCTGCATGAGCTTAGAATATTTAGATTTGCACAGTAACACATACATACTCTAACAAGAACAAACAGTCAATGATTGGCTGTGGGGCTCAGAACAAATGACAGCAACAGCTTAAACTCCCTCCTGGGGCCTTACACATCAATAAAAGAAGAAAAAAGGCAAATAAACACACGTGCACATGACAAGTTATAAATATCTTGAAGGGTTATGCTGTGGAGTAAATCTACCTGCATCATGTACAGACAGAAAGCTTAAAGTTACACCTGTTTGCCAAAGCAAGAGTGTGACTGAAGACTGGTCTCTCCCTAACTTTAACCATTTATCTGCCAGTTTTGTAACAGTTTACAGTAAGAAGGCACTGACAAATCCTGCTGTTGTCAGAACACACTCTTTGATTCACTTGGGGCTTATTCATTTTATTCAGAACATGCATATTTTGCTATTTAATAATCATATCAAAAATACAATTTCTTCTTCTAAAATGAACAAAGGTAACAGTGCTGTGTTATGGGCTTCAGGTCCTTCCCACCTTTCTGGTTGGACCTCTAGCTCCTGACTCAGGTGTCCAAGACCAACTGTCCCTCCAGCTTTAATCATTATATCATGACCGCATTAACATTAATGAAGCACTTGTTCCTGTTTGTTGTACTTTCATGTGTTGAGTGTAAACACAGGAATCTGGAATGTTTTATTTTCAAAGGAGATACAAAAATGATGCACATGAGATGCTAAGATGCTGAATCTGAGACAGAAGAGAAAACGACATGGCAGAAGAGGAAGAAGAAAGTGAGTATCACTTAACAGGGACCAGAAATCTACAGGGTGCCCTCACTGCTCTGTCATAAATGGTGTGACCCTCTGCATTATTATCCTGCTATGAAAAACAGAACATATCTGCATAATACATGATGAGTAATATGAAAGACACCATCCTCCCACCCGCTCCCAAAGAACTTGAGGAGCTCATTTACTCAGGCTTAAGCAACCAAGATGCTTTTGTAAAAATCATTTTATAGAAACCGGATTAGCACAATACTACAGTATTCACACACAGATGGAAAAATATGACGTAAATGCACACAAATTAGACTCACACAGAGGGAACAAACACAAACCACACATACTTTGAGAGAAATCCTGCCACAGGCAGAACTAATGTGTCAGTGCGACTCAGATCTATTTAACACTCTTCCTCTAGTCCCCCCTCTCAGCTCCTTTTCTCTCTCTCTCCATCAACTCCCCTCATCACAAACTCTCTCCCATCTCCTTTCGTGTCCCTCTTTTCTTCCCTAATCTGACTTCTTTCTTTAGTCACATGATCTGTCAGTGTCTCTTCTCTCTCCTTTCTAACCCCCCACTTCCTCTCTATCACTCTTTTCCCTCCTTTCTCCCATCCTCCATCTCCATTTCTCTGTCCAATGTTCCCTGCTCTCCCCAGCCTCCCTCCTCCTGTCCTCTGGCACATGGTCTGATGAAGCAGAATTCATCCCTAATAGTATCTTTATTAATTTACAGTGGGACAAAAAGACATGGCAGTCACTAAAAGGATGGGTTACTTTAAACAGACACGGAGAGAGAAAGAAGGAGAAAAGAGTGGATCAGAGATAAAGAGAGAAGTAAAACAGGCTGGAAGAGATAAAAGAAAGATGCTAGGTGTTAATATAAAATGTCCTTAATAACACATTTTATTCATTTGGGCCCATCTTGTTTTTTGTTTGGTAAATTTTGGAGTAATTCTGCAGTTTGAAGTTTGACAGAAGATTTTCTTAAACTATCTAAAATCAATGTAATGTAAAAATTAAAAGATATCAGTCCGTTAGAATGAAAGACAGGCAGTCTTTCAGTGCTTTCTTGTTTACTGTTTATATTGTGCCTTCTCAGGAAAATCCCAAAACAACTACATAACACTGTAGCTGTGTCACAAAGTGAAATTTGTTTTAAATTTTTCATGAAGCAAAGGCAGAGCTGTCCTCCCTTGTTCCTTCAGTTACTTCTTTCCAGGAAGAGATTAAAACATGTGCTTCCAGATTAAAGAATATCTCCCAGCTCATTGTGTTGAGAATTTACACTGGCACTTTATAAACTACATTGGTCGGCCAATGCAAATACCGTAATGTTTGGTTACTTGTGTCTCAGTTATAAGACTGACGTTTTCTTTGCTTGATTGCTTGCAAAATGTAAAGAAGGTGGGTCTTATCTAATATGAGTCTGTCAGGCAAACATCAAGAGAGTAAAGAAGAAAATGCGACAATATACATGTGCTGCAGTGAGTATTGCAAATCTGTGACAGAAGAGTTTGCCTTAGTGTTTCCAGCATGCAATGACTAAGCCAGGCCAGCATCTCGCCAACAGCCACCACCACCCAGCTGAAACACAACAACACCACTGAAGAAGAGTCAGATTTCCCAGGGCTCAGATAAAATCTGCAGCCTGTCATTGCAGATGATTAGTACAATATGTTGCTGGTGTAGGCTCATGATTCAATTAATTTCCCTCCAGTACCTCTTCCATGAAACCTCTTACTGCACATACACTGAAGGCCTCCAGTTGACTTGGATGATGACTGAATTCTTTGTCTTAAGCTTGTGCTTCACTGCCACATCTGTGTATTTTACTTTGTGTGTTAGTTTACTTCCCCTTTCTGGCATTTGTCCCTTTGGCGGTTTGCTGTGTTTCTGCAAATCCCTATCTTGTCACTTTATCTGCCTTTACTGTGTTTCTGTTTGTCTCATTGCTGTCTAACACTGGTTCTGTCACTGCTTCTGGGAAATAGTAATGTGAGCAGTGCTCCCAGGCGATATAATGGAATATAAGATTGTAACGTAAATATGAGTAGATTTCCAAAATGCTATTAGTCCATTATGAGAAACATTTAAATAATTTTTTAGCCATATGTACTCACTTTACATGTATATCTGATTTTGATTTCTTTAAATTCTTTTGTAAATCCAGTGGCATTAACACTGTTGTATGTAGGCTGTTAGAGTCTCTGGGGTGTTGTCCATTGGTTGTAGAGCCTGACGCCCTCACACTGATACAGCCATGAGGAGGCAAATGCTGCTCTGCATGCAAACACATACATATAAGAATGTGAAAACATGCCGCAGGTGCATTTTACACCCTGCTCATTGTTGTACAGAAAAAACATAACGGGAGCAGAAGAGACACTTACACTTCATCTGCCTCACCACAGGCTTATTGGGCTCCAGCCAGTGCTGGCAGAGAGAGAGAGAGAGAGAGAGAGAGAGAGAGAGAGAGAGAGGAGGAAGTAAAAAGACAAATGTCACCCTAAGATATGGATACTGAGATCAGTTAAGAAGAACATGTTGCAATTTCAACAAGCTCCAATGAGCTCATGCATTTTCCAAGTCAAAAAGATTTCTTAAAGCTGTTGATGAATAATTAAATCACACGTCATTTAAACTCAGCACTGTGAGGCAACGGTGCATTAAAAGCACATTTAAAATAATCTCTGCACATTACATATACTTAAATGCATGGCTGAACAATCTATTTTATTTACATTATCCCATTAATGATCTGACTGTTTTCATCTGTGCTTATAATGTACTCAAATTAAAGTTCTTATGTAATGATGTCAATGAGCAACACCTGGAAGTGTGAAGTTTTTTTCTATCCTTTATTAAATTTGAATCAAGTAAGTTTTATTAAGACCAGTGCTTTCGCCAGTGTTCACCTGGAAGCTGCCCAGTAAAACCACAGTGCGACTGTTTAGGCAGCTCCAGTGGAACAGCTGGGGGTTAAGTGCTTTGATCAAATGTTCTTCAGTGGTACTAATGAGGGAGAGGTGGTGATAGTCCTGATTATACAGTACATGAATTTTGATCCCACAAACTGTTAAATGCATCCAGTACTGAAAATCTGAGGGAACTCACCATATCTGACCTACTCCTTTGTACTGCAGCTATTTTGTTGCAGTTTGAGGATGGCATCTGAATCTCAAGTGTGTATTGTATTGTATTGTAATGTCTTTTTCTGGTGCTCTATTGTACTTGTGCTTTTTAGTTTTGTGTAACAGCTCATGTTCATATTAGCATTAGTTTTTCTCTTCTGTCTTGCATTTTAAATACAGCTACAGTGGAGGCTAGCTGAGCCTGTGGAGACAAAGCGTCTGGTCTCATCTGTGTGTGGGCTGTTTGAAATATGGAGACTGGCCTTGCTATCATCTGTCATTTGATCGTGTAATGTATTGTACTGACTAAGATCCAACATTCCCATTTTGGCCGTGCTGACTCAGTGGAGCCAGTTCCTGTTAGTAGATGTGATCATCAGTTTATATTTTTGCTCTTCTGCAGTGCAGCCATATCAAACTTGTTGATAGGGTCAAATGTGCATGAGCCATAAAGCTTCATTTATATGTTGACATTTTGCCAGCAGCAGTAGTAGCAGGGGGATAATAGAAAATACTGAGAGGGGAAGCTGCTTACACAGGTCTACAAAAAGAAACACTCACTCATTACACCTAAGCTTGATTTATGGCTCTGCCGTAGGCTACATAAGCGGCCTACGCCTTTGTGAGCATTGTATCTGTGTCATTCCACGATTACACCGTCAAAACGCCAGTTGGCAGTAGTCACACTTACTTGTGATATTTCCTTTAACTGAATTTTTTTATAAAATAAAGTACTACATGCCATTTCTTAAAATCATCAGAATTCCAGGTTCCAGTGTGAACATATTAGATGATTGTTTGATTAGTCAATGAAAAGAAAATAATTTATCAACTGTTTGGTTAATTCCTTAATGTACTGTTTAGTTAACCAAACAATTGCTGATGTGTGACCTGTTTTAAATTGAATGTCTCTGGAGTTTGGACTGTTAGACAAACAAAACAAGCAATTGCAAGACTTTACTGCTGTGCTCTTGGTGACAGTGTATACACTATGTCAATTTATAAAAAAGACACAGATCAGAAAATACCACAGCCCTGCTACTTTTGGCTGCTGTCTGTGTGTGAGTTACCCTCTGTTTCTCTGGGTCCACATATCGAATTCCAAAGTAGTCTTTCTCGAGCAGGTTGTAGTGGTTACACACATGATCCAGCAGGAACTGCCCTTTGGTGTCTCTCTAAAGGAAAAAACAAAAACACAAAACACATAAATCCAGGAAGTTACTTTCTGACCTGTCAACAGCTGATACTTTCATCTGAGCGATCTTATCTCTATTCATGCATATAAATCCCATAAAACCTTCAGCTGCATCTGATACCCAGTGCATCTCTGTGCCATAATTACAGTGAACCAACCCCTACTGGGGAATATTTCAGTGATGCTCACCAGGGCCAAAGCATATTATAAAGGGAAAAACTAAGTTAGCAACCTTTAGCTCTCTCATCTGTTGTGGTCACATCCAGAGTCAGTCAACTAGCAGGCCAGTAAGTGCAGTTCATATGCAGCTCATAAACATGGACAAAGAGATCAATAATCACTCTGCATTTATGACCTGTTCCTCAGTCAGTATGTACTCATCACAGGCAGACACACAGACAGGGAAACTCATGCACATGTGTTTGTAGCTTAATGTACATAAGCACACACAAACTGAACTGCTGTTTCGTTGATTTAAGGATACAAACACGTGTATCTTCAATTAAATACACTTTACATTTTCTAATGAGTCAGTATTTAGACTGACAGTTTATCATATTATATGCATCACACATACCCTAAGTCTTGTGACTGTAGTGTGTGTGTGTGTGCATGCATGCCCTATAACCGCTCTATAACTTGCTGAAGGAGGTGAATTCTGTGCTTGGTTAAGCGGGACTGATTGATTCAGTAGGAAATGATCCGTTTGCCCTTGCTGTGATTGGGGACACGCATAAATATACACATCAATGTGCACACTCATGCAAACATACACACACAGCTTATTTAACATGCACCAAGCACAAAGAACCACAGCTGTCTATCTGGCCACAAGTAAAACTGCCAATCACCACTGTCAGTACACCAGAAACTCATTTGACGTCAACTGATTACGAATTCACCTGTGGTAACAACGTATTTTACACAAGGACATAAGGAAATTTATTGTCATTGTAGTCTCTACAATAAAATTCAGTTTGGCACTCGCATAAAAGAAGCAAGGATCTATATTTAAATGCAACCTGACAGTGACAAACTGGTCAGGACTGGTTTGTTTCATACATACATTAAACTGTTGGAGACACCTGTTCTAATCATTTTTATTCACTGTGGAGCACTTTACACATGTTTTTACACTTCTGCTAACAGTCTCACTTCTCTGTAGTTTGACTTTGAGGAGAAATTAGCTGAGAATGAGATAGAGATGCACGTGCATCAAATGTCAAATGGCTGCCATATCAGCAATGGTTAGTATATTTTGGTGTTCCTTAACAACCAAGCTAAGGACATAAGCTAAATATGTGTAGACATTTGAGGCTGATACACACCATGAAGTCAGTGACTGACAGCAATTGAATGGTCATAGAAGAAGGAGTCGTTTATGTCTCCTCTACAGGAGAAAATGATCTTAGACTAAGGAAATTGCTATGTAAAACCATTCATCTTCCAGCACTCCCATCTGGCAGTTTGTCAAACTAAAGCCCATGAACCTCACATGTGCAGCCTGTTCAGGCCCATACTCATCTTAAAGCAGGCAAGAGATATTTTTTTATATAGCACCTTGTTAAACTGAAATTATAAAGGGCTTCACAATTTAAACCAAACAGGGTTGTAGTAAAAGACAAACTCAACAAAATAAAATAGATTAAAACCATAAAGCATGTTAAAAGGGGAAAACAGCTACCCTACTCAGTGCCCGTGAGGAATGCCTGCCTATATAAGTGAGTCTTTAAAAGACAGCAAAACATCACCAAGTCAGGTGCCAATTGAATATCTAAGGGAACTTAGGAGCCGCAACCGCAAAAGCTCAATCACCAACAGATCTGAGCCTAGATTTATGGGCATCCAGTAGAAAGAGATTAGAGGATCTAAGAGATCTACCTGGGGTGTACAAGTGCAAGAGCTCTGAAATATATGAAGGAGCCAAAGAGTGGAGAGCCTTAAAAACAAATGCTAAAATTTTTAAACAATCCTAAAACGGACTAGAAGCCAATGTAGAGACCGTGTTCAGTTTCTGTCTGTGGACTGTGTGTCAGTAACATTGTCTCTAGTTATCATACTTTATTTCACACAACCATGAATTCCTATGAATATATTGTGTTTGGTAAACGCAACAGTTACTCATTTCTTAGTAAACAATCTGTTCGGTGCAGTAACTGTAGTATGATGTTGCTGCTTATAATAACCACAAAAATAAGTCATTATTTCTTGTGAATGTCACTACAACTACTCAGAAATAGTAAGGAACAGCACAGTGAGTAGACTACGGTATGGTACATAACTATCCAGGTGCCACAGTTACAATGAGGTGGCTGGCCCCTGTGACCTTTGTTACATCACCACAGCAACAATCCGCTGTCAGTGACCTCTGAGGCAGCAGGTCCCTATAAGCTGGTTCAGGTTCACTGTGACACAAGTACTGTAAATCAATTGTGCATCCCTGTGGGTGTAGCTGTGTCTCCATGCTGACCTGCCTGTGTGTGAGTTAGATAAATAGTCACTCTCTGTCTGTGTAAGCTGCCTGTCTCCATCAGCAAATGTGTGTTTGTCTGTCTACAGCTCTTTGGGGATTTTCAGCTGATCCACGAAAACAGTGTTTCTATGCTGTTCAATCAGAAGAGCAAACAGAGAGACAAACACTGAGCAGGGAGAAAAACAGAATGATGACAACCCTACTGCAAGCAGTTTCTAGTCAGCTCATCAAACACCACCTTTCCTCTGTCGGGTTCTGAAGGCAGACGCTCATGGGGAAAAGAGAGGCAGAGTGACGCCAAGAGAGAAGAGAGAGAACAGACCAGGCAGAGAGTGAACCTGGGCCAAACACACCAAGAGGCTAAAAGAGAGAGAGAGCTAAAAAGGAATGAATAAGAGAGATGAGCAAGGCAAAGAGGAAGAGACAGAGTGAGGAAGAGAGACATAAAGAGTCTATGTCATGTTCAACAAGGACTGAATACATATTTTATATATCCAAAGGCTGGGCATTAAAAATTAACCTGGTCATACTGTGTCTACATGATCTCACCTAATGACAGCAAAGTGCTCCGCTCTACCTGCAGACACATACACACACTTTAATTAGATCCTCGGTGAGAGTGTATTCAGTTTAACTTAAGCAAAGTGCAAATTGACGTGTGCGTGTTAAAGAGTGCCTATCCACGCTCAACCATGTTGTCTCAAAAAAGCGAGTCCAGATGCACACCAAGCAAAGAAGGAAAAAACAAAGAAACCCATCAGTGTGCAAAGTATAAAAACACACATGCTATCTCTTATTTATTCTTGTGAATTCACAAAAACATCAGTTAAACTCAATGAAATCAACAGGAGATTGGAAGTGCACAGTGCCAGAATTATTTTGGTTTGTAATAACTGAGATTTTCCAAAGGTTACAGAAGTTAGATATACTGTTAGCTACCATCAGTCACACTGAGTGTACCTGTGTTAAGTAGGATTTATACTCCTTGAGAACTGCTTGTCAGATTGTCACATATTGTGCAATATCAGAAATCCCCTCCCCCTCATACCTTTCCGATATCAGACAAGTGGGGCAGTCTGCTGTCTGACCATATCTGTAACTGCCCAAAACCAGAGATCTGACATTTACACCCCCTTCGCACCATGACTGGTCAGCAGTGCGGCGGTCAGAAAAGAGCCATCTGCACACATCTCTATTCATTTGTGTCCGATTTCATCATTCCATTGATTTTGCATGAGATCACTCTGCCTCTCACATTACTGGTAATTCTCATTCAGAAATAATAAATCTACCTGTTTGTTTTGTGTGACACAAGAAAAATACAGATGCATTATTGTGCGTGAAAATACAAAATCACTGATAAACAATAAACGTCTTGCTTGAGGTTCTACAGATTCAGCAGAGTCAACCTGTGAAATCAGATCTGTCACACAGCAGATGCTGTGGGATGTTTTTTTGGGGAGGGTTATGTTTGCCTTATTTTGCTCCACTCACAACAATAATACTGTGGGTGGAACAAACTGGGGTCAAATCAAACTACAGTAGCTATCAATAGATCCATAAAATGGCAGAAGATCACTTTAAAAACTAAACAGACAGTATATCATGTTAAAATGAGAGCACTTTATTCCGAATTAAATGCTTAAAGTAACTGATGAAACAGCTCACAGATGGACTATAGCCATAAAACTCTACTTAATAGCTGCAGTCAAAAGTGGCCACTACGAGCCCAGCGCTAGGACCCTGGATGCCCTGGCTCAGTTAAATGCAGGCTTCTTGTCTAATTAATATGCATGTCATTTCAATTATGACCGGTCCTTATTGACTTCAGTGCAATTCATTTCATGGCATAGCATATGCAAATAGCTGTGAGGAGAAGGAGCGTTAAATTTCTGCAATCCTTCTGTGAAACCAAAACACACTTCTACCAAGGAGAGAGTGAAGGCGACAGAGAAAGCGTAGTGGGACTTTAAAGATAATGGCATGCTCCTCTTTACCTCCGCATGAACCAATTTAAACGCCTAGTGGCTGCTATTAAGACAAATGCCTGGCTAATTCAGGGCTTTTCTCTTGAAACCGCTGCTACTCTTCAGGGAAACTGAGATCGAAAACGCAACTGGACCAATTTGCTAATTTATTTGTCAGTTAGGATGTGTAAGTGTGAAAGGCTTTCTATGAACATGTGACAACATTGTCCTCCTATTATTACTGTAACAGGCCCCTGAGACAGTGTAAAGGATCAATCCAGAGGCTTGACCAGGAACCTTGACCTGAACTTTTTCTGTTTTCACAGGATGCAGAAAACAAGATTTTCTGCACATTTCTCACACATATGGACTTTCTGCCCTCATAAAATGTAGTTTCACTTTTATATTTCCTCTTAAGTAGCTTGAAGGTCTATATTACATTACATATTTGGCATATTTTAAAGTGCTGGTATCAATTTTAAGAGGAGGCTATTTTTATTGATTATACTGCTAGGGTTAGGTGTGATAGTGTTACCTTAA